TAAATGTTGTACTCCATGATGCACCAATGGTGTGAGAGGCTAAATGGTGGCTGTGCCATTTGCACTCGTTTGATCAATCGGGAATTGTTCAAGAATGTGGTAAAATGATCGCGGCAAACAAGCCAGCCTGAGTCTTCTCTGATGCCCTCCCAACGAGACTTCGGTGATGAATCTGAAACACAGTGACTCTAATTTCAACAAGAGTTTTACACCTTTTAATACAACTAAACTCAGCGCTTAGGTTCTGTACTGTGCATATCAATCTTCAATAGATCAGTATCATAATCCATGGAACGATAAAGTGGAGTGTGCTACACATGAACTGAAATCTTTTTTACATTTACTTCAAATAAATTTACTCGTGGGGGATGATCCTGATATGGGCCGATCGAGAGTGATTTCATGAAAAGGATAATTAATATTATATCGAATTTTGTTTATTCGACACATATAAATCAATAAATATCAATATCGATGTGAAACTGTGACACAGCCACTCACCACTTATGGTCCTTCCGGTTATTCTCATTGCTCAAGGGTTCTCAATATCAACTCGGAAACACAAGTCATACATAAGTGGATTTTCGGTCGTAACTTGGTCGCACTGTTATTATTTAACAGACAGTTTTAATGTTTTAAAATGAGTGTTAACCGATGGCGTGGTGGGGTTCGTGAGCATTCACTACCTTGTTGATATTATCTACTTATTTCGTTTTAGTAAATGTTTATTATGCACATTGCTTTTCCAAGTGGGACTGATTAAATGTAGCCTGAAAGAATGTCTTTTTTATGAAGTTACTGTGGGCCCCAGCATGTGTTCTTGAAACACGCGGGGCCACAGCATTGAATCTGGCACGATTACGCTTCCCTGATACCCACGATGAAGAAGAAGACCAGAGAGGACGTGGACACATCCATTTACTTCAGAGCTCAACTAATTTGGTGTCGTTGTGTCGTGTGCGGCGTTTGCTTATGTGTATTTATACCTCAGATGTGTGAGTCAAAGATGAGCCAACATCAAGACCTAGATGTGAGGATAATCCAGAGTAACCCTTCACGCTATAGTTAGGGGGAGTTGAAGATCCGTGCTGTACGAAAAGAAAGCACTCTTAAGTGGAATTTTTTTTCGAATATTTATGAATGAAATTGGAGTCATTGATCGGCAGGATTGTAGTGCTTGTAAACTACCAGGAAATTGACATAGAAGTTGACAAGCTTTGTGAATCACTGATGTCAATACGTTAACGGTCTCATGAAAAGATTAGGTTTTTGAAATGTTACACTGAACACAAAATCCGTTGAATATTTGAAAATTTTACTGTTAAAAGATATAAAATTTTATAGCTGACCCCGCTACCTTGGTTCCATGGAACATAGACTGCTACAAAATATGTAACCTTAGAGACACTTCCAGATTATAAAAGCTCCAGGATTGGGTCGATGGACAATAAAGAAAATGACCTTTTGATATTTTCAGGTAGGTCTCTAGAGTCGCTAATCGAGGCAGGTGGACTTACCAGTCGAATTAAATAAAAGATGCTGACGAGTGGTAAATTGAAATGCTCGCCAAGAGGAAGCAGAAATGCAAATTTGTGTTTTGTTTTGACATGCACAGAGCAATGTGTGTAAGTAGATTTTAGGCATTAAAGACTGCTTCATGTCTATTTGCGCAAACAGTTCAAGTATAAAATTTAGCAGCACTCCGATGATACTAAAAGAAATCAGAAATAATCATTTATTTGATCATTATTATTTTAGGAGGTTTTTTTGTTCCTGGAGGTTAAGAGCTGTCAGTATAAATATAGATACTGCGCCGTAATATCTAAAAAAGCACTACTTAAGGCATCGTCACATCTGTGAGCGTGTGAACTGAGGAGTGCAAATTGAACAGCCTCAGATCAAAGCGTTAAGACGAAAGTTGTCTTGAAAATACTAGCTTCTACAAAATGCGACACAAGTTATCTTAAATTGTATAATTTGGTCAAACACAACATTCATCTAATGGTTAACTAAACTGACTTCCAAAAAATATCGTAAATAGTTTTTTCAAAGGATTGCATTGTGGTAGTGGACATTACTTAGTTAAAAGAATATGCCTCTTAAATTCAAGGATGGGGTCATTGGTGGTCTGGCATTTATCAGGGGCACATTCTATAATCGAGGTACGTAGATGTACAAAACGAGCCAGCAAACAATACACCATTTCCAAGTACTTTACAAATGGTCATGAAAAAATTGTGAATCTGTCCTTAATACTGAACTGAATCTTGAGGTGATACATTCTTTCCGAAATTCTGGACTCAGACATTTGCATCCATTTTCCATTTAGATATTAGTATAGAATTCATGAATTAGATTTCGTTATATTAGCACAGGTAAGCGCACAGCTAAACTGAAAAATATACAGGGACAAATATAGCTGCTTCACTGCAACCTCCCTTTTCTAGAAAATTACGCTGATCAATATCTGTGGGTAGTCAACACTGCACTCAGGTACCTTCAGAACCGACAACTGGTCGAAGCTGGATCAACTAGCCTCAAGTGTTAACGATTCCCATACTCATAATAACACTTTTAATTGCTATAAATTTTGGTTTAAATAATGATTTACCAAATCGTACTAACTCAAACAATATTTGAGCAACATTATTTTAAATGTGGTGTTGGGGATGGCGCTTTTATAAAACTGAGGTCTAATCAGCTTGCAAGCTATTTGGTCACATATTGTATGGTGCAACAGAGCAGGTTTTCGTGATAAATCACAATTTGGAACCCACTAGACGCTATCTACCTGAGTTCTCCATATTGGCTGGGCTGCCTATTGCAAAGTGCAACTCTTCATTTGTTATCTCTGGCGGGCGGCTGATCTTTTCTTGTTGACCACACACAACTACAGATGATTTGCTGACCTCGGCAGATCTAATAGGTGTACGATTGATTTCTGCACAACACTTTTTACACCTCAGAAGTAACATGTCCTCACCATCTGGCTTGATTCCTTTAACGGTCACAATAGGTTTCAAATGGAAGAATCCGAGTTCGACTTTTTCAGACGCCCCACATCTGGTAGACGAGTAGTCTGGGCTTCTGGAAGGTAGTGGAACATTGATGTTGTCAGATTGCAATATGGCCATGTTATCCATTCGTTGCACTCCGACTGACTCCTAATGTCCCCGCTGTCCTCTTTGACTTGCTGATGGCTTTTCGGATCCAGGGGTCATAATCGCGCCAGTGAGCATATTAGTGATGCTCTTAGATTTTTCCCCCTGTTGTACAATCTACTATTTTTCTTGGCTAGCGTGTTGACCTGTTGCTGGTTTTGCTTGTCATTAACTACTTTTCCTCTTTCCGAACGTCACAACTCTGAATTGAATTTGGGAAACAGGACTTAGTTCTTGATTATTGAGGCGTTGAGGTGAGTAGGGTTGTTTCTAGTTCCATGATATTTAATCCTACGTTATTGTAAATAATCGGTATCTTCTTGTATGTACTCGCTTCTTTTGTTTACTGGCCTTCGCGTCCTCCCCGTGTGATTCTATACCTCTTTTTCCTTTATCCACTCAAGTTACGTCTCTTATTTTAAATTTGTACCGTCCTTACTTTGATTTACTATTCCACACGTTCTCTTCACCTTTTACTGCGACTTAATTGCTACGATTTCTCAATACACCTCTTGTTCTAAGAGACTCATCGGACAAATCTTAAAAGGGATTTCGTTTCTATCAGTCGTTTTGCTAGCAGCGCATTCCCCTGCCCATCTATTCCGACGTCTCCGTCTGCGCTTCACTTATCTAAACCAGCTGCGGTTTCAACATCTTTTTGTCCATTGTAACAGTGTTAAATATAATTGGTTTTGTGTGAGCTAAGACTTTTTCGTTAAGGTCGTAAATTGTTCCTTCGTGGCCAATGTCGTTTTTTGACTTGAATTTTTCGTTTCTACTATGCAATGTTTTTCAAGTAGTCTGGTAGGCGTTAAAAACACCAAATTAGGATCATTTGTATCATATGCTAACGATGGTTTCTACATTTGAAATAACTCTTGAGTACAGTTTCTCCCAAATTTAACCAAAATCATAGTTGCTCCTTAGATGGACACTGTCAACAAATTTGGTCGATTGCCCGTAATAATTTTGCTACTTTGCCTTAGTCTAGAGTATATGTACTCAAGTGTTTACTGTATCAAAACTGAATTTGTTCGTAAATCTCAGATTTTCCGCACGAATGCCTTTGTTCCTGAACCTTCCGCCTGTGCACGGGTGGTATGTCCTCAAGAGCTATTACAAACGTTGTTGCTTTGTTATGATCTCATTGTTTCGAAATTCGTACACCATTACTTTTGGAAGATTGTTGGTGTTGGTGCCTGGTTTTCTGCGATGAGGTCCATGTTATTATTTCCAGTTTTTGACTTATTAGCAGCATTTATCAAAAGACTTCCCATGATCACGTCTGAAGTGTCTTATGCAGTTGGGATTCTATGGTACATTGTTCATTATTTCACACAGCTAGCAATCGCAATGGAGTTAAGTCACGCAATGGTTCTTCTATTTAAGAATTTCATTAATCTTGTCTGATTTTACCTGGATAAATATGTTCTAACTCCTCCTTGCCATTTTAAGAGGAGATTAGGCTGACTAGAATTTGCTTAATTGAGGTTGAATTATAAAGGAGACATATAATACTCTTTGAATTTTATTTACTGCACTGGATATCGAAGCTTCACCTTGGCATTTACCTAAATCTCTTTGTGAAGTGTGCTATTCATAGCTTCTGGTGTTTTTGTCAAGAGAACTCCAGAATATGCCTTTCCAGGGGCATTGTACTATCAATCAACAGTCTTGGATCTGGACTGTAATTAGGCCATTAAATACTGTCGCTATTTTCCATTGTTTGATGCTTGGAAGCTCTAATTCCCACGACTTCAAACCAGAGCTCACTTCCACGTGGGGGTTTGAAATGTCGCATCATTTGTTTCATCACTCGTTCACTTCTTCGGCAGCAAAATGAATTATAACCGCAATGTCGATTCTCGCTTGGGAAACTCTAATGATTTCTCACGAGAAATCGTCTTTATACAAGCTGGACCAGCGTCAAATTGGATTGGAACTCACTTTTGGAATTTACAAGAGAACATTTTGTTCCAAAAACAGGAGACCAGTCCATTTCTCCTGCCTGCCTTCTTCCGAGGAAGTGAAAAAAGCTCGTCGTACCTTCGGCCTCGTCTTATTTCCATAGATACTCTTGGCAGTGTACGCAGTCCAGGCATGGGAATAGGCGAACCTTCACCAGGTTCCAACTTCGTAGCGTGGGAGGACTCAGTCCAGATAATAAGACAGGATGATCGTCATCCCTTATTTGATGCGAAAAGTCAACAACATTATGAAAAGTCAGCATTTGTCCGTTCTTATGTGTCAATTCTCGCACTAACCCTTTGTGGCCTTGTTATAATAATTAGCTCTAAAAGCCAAAGTTTGATGCAAACGTTCACGGTTTCAAGTGTTAAGTTCTAATTGATTCAAAGAGTATATCAGCCACTATAATGCATTTTAATGAAAAAAAGCTCACCAACCACCTAGGCTCTAAGTAGATTTCATGAGCATTGGAAATGTTCAGTCTTTAAGCGTTAATAGTTCTTCTCATTCGTCCTCTAAGTTCTGCGCCAATAATATTCGCTAGGCATAAATCATCCGAGGTTTCCAATGAGAGACAAGAGGGGAACGAGACGACACGTCGGCCAACTTCCCGCCAGTGGATGGACTGTTTACTTCCAACTGTGAAACGTAGGTGGGCTGGTGAAGAAACTCTCATGGTTTTACATGACTATCTTGATTCCTCGGGGCCCGGAGACGTTTTCGCTTCACCCCGCCTTTCAAACGATGTCACAACCAGGATTTGTGAAAATGACGCGCCTCAGTTTGCATCTTTCGCACAGGTCAGCAATTACTACTTCCTTTCCTGCCGTACCTGCAATCTAATATGTGACGTCCAAACAATTGCGACTTGTTGCGGGCCTTCTCTCAATCAAATATATCCAACATTATGCAAGATTACTATATCATCACTTACTGTATGCTTAGTTTGATCATTTCCACCGCTCGGTTATTGGAAACCGAGACAGGGGATTCCACGTTATTCATACATTTTAATAAAACAAATAGTCACCTAAATTTGGCCAGATTCCCTCCGTTATCTAATGCTCTGTAAAACACTCAGGAGGATGTTGCTGCTGTCTGTAGGTCGCTCCTTGATAAAATAGATTGAACATCCCAACACTAGAATTTCTCTAGTCAACGCGCATCAGGTATGTAGGGTCAGTTTCGACCCCATTCCTCTCAATCTGAAATCACAACACTTGATTAATGAAAACAGGTTACAAGACGTGAAGTTGTTTCAATCAATCCCTACTCAGATATTACCCGAATACTTGCGAGAATAGGTTTTACCGTGAAAGGACAACTTTTCTCTACGTTTGTAGGGCCTTGATCTGTTTCGTGAGGGGAGTGACACATTTGATCATTTCGAGAATTATTTTCACCGACTGGTGGAGGAATGTGACCGACCAAGCGGTTTTTTCCTTCTGGTCGATTCGGATTCAGGCTTTTCTGGTGTGGCTCTCCGTCTTGGCGGTTTCCTTGGAGAGGAGTTTACAAAACGACCCGTGTTTACCTCCGCAATCGCTTCGTGCATTAGCTTTAACCAGCCCCGTCGATGGTCTACAGTCTGTCTTAACCGCCTGGCTCTCTTTGCTGCTCTCGAGCATGGCAGCGATTGGCCGTCGTGTTCCGCTTGGTTGCCGTTGGCGAATATCGGGGATGCTTGTGTGGCATCCAGTCTCTTAGCGGCTGGAATGACAACCGCTCTCAGCCCTTTAATGCTGAAACACGATCTAAAGTACTCCGTCGACCTAAATGGCTTTGTAATCGGACTAACACCCACCAGGAAAAAGGTATCATTCATGCACTAGGGCTGGTCCGATTTCTTAGGCTTCCAAAAGGCTTAGTTTGTATACAGGGACGTAATGCTATTGGCCTGAACTCATTTTCCAAAGTTCAAGTTATCGTTGGGAAATTGGTATTTTAATTTCTTCTAGGTTAAGTAGATTGGACAACCTTAAACTCCTCCCGGCAAAAAATCCTGTGGTATAAAAACAAAATTAATCAAGCGACAAGTTTGGTAGTATTTTGATATTTCCTTGCATTGTTTCAATTTGTGGTCGCATTTTCTTCAGATGCTCTCGTTGTCGTTTGCTAACCAAAATACAAAGATGGCTGACTCTTCGAAGATGGAGTGGATCCACACGAGTACACTAAAGACGTGCTCAAAGCCAACTGAAGTTCGCCAATGTAATGCAGCCTCCCATCCCAATTCCCTAGTTTGCCAGTTATCGATACGTGGAATTGAAAAGGGAAAAGAAGAATGTTCCTCTCTTCTTCCTCATCCCACTGGCCATGCATGCACCTTAAGTAAGGGTTTGAGTCCACGTCTGTCCTGTAGCCTACCAACACATCCTCTTACGGTTCCGCGGTTAACTAGTGCACCATCGTTCTGCACGCAGCCTACTTATTCGTGCACTCGTGCAGTCATAGAAGCCGTCAGTCACTGGACAGATGAAAACCAATGGCTGGCCTCGGGGCTGAAACACCACTTTGAGTCTGCATTTTGCAACAAATTCGACTGTGGATATGTAGAAACTGATGAACTGAATGAAATAAAAGAGACCGCCACAGACCGTCTTGTGGAGGCATATGCCTCGGCGGATGGCTGAAGGTGCACTTCGCGACTACTTTTAACCTGTTCTTTGGGCGATTCCCAGCTACTTCATGGATCAGATAGCAAAAGCAGATGCAACAAAAACTGAGCTTGCTTGTGAGTCGAGAGACCAAAACTAGTTTATTAACTCCCTCAAAAAAAAACACGATACTTCGTTGGTGGAAAAAGCTTAAGCGCCTTGGTGGAAAACTGCGCGTCCACCCAATCAGTAAAAAAACCGCTGTCGTGAGAAACATTTTGCCAGTAGCGATTACACGTTCACGGCACGGCTAACCCAGCTACGTTGTCTTAAGTTTACATTGCATGTGAACACGCGCGGAGTATGAAGAAGTAACATTCGGTAAAATATAACTTGCATAGGAGCAGGTCGCAGCATTTCAACAAAGTAATTGTAGGAAGAGTAACCTTATCAGCCGTTACTACAAAACATCTCATAGAATTGCTCGGGGAGCATGGCATTTGTTTACACTTGACAGAGAATAAAATTGTACCTGTATTAAATGTACATTGAAAACAAACCAAATCCGTTAATCCACCAACTGCCCACAAAGTGGTTTAGTTATACGTAAATCTAAATAACTAATCAAACTTTTTAAGCCGGGAAACAAAACACCAATGTGACGATAAGAGGAACATTTATGTAAATAACTTTAAATCTGTTAAAAAGACACACTTGTTTAAAAAAAAACCTGTAACAAAAATAATAAAGGGACATTTTTAAATGCAATCATGTTAATAAACTATCGCAAATGCGAGTAAGTTCTTGATTCTCCTGGGCCTAAAAGTGCAAACAAGTCGATAATGAAAACACGAAATGGGGATTTATCGGATGCACGCAAAATAATTCCCTGAAGAGCCTAAGTGTGGAGGAGCATTTGGCAAGAGCTGTTTGTTCAATTGAATGCCTCAGTAAGAATCCCTAACGGTTACATACACCTAAACCTGACCGTGATGTTACTCGTCTTACAATATGGACGCGTTAGACGACATAGTGATAGACATTATATGAAATTAGCACTCAGATTAAACGTAGCAATTTGACAACGTAATATCACCTTTTGCTTCAGTTCAGCCTCGAGAGACTTTTGTTTCATTTCCAATTGTTTGGCACAAACGCGCAGCTTGCTTATTTCCTTCTCCATTAGGCTTTTCACTGAGTCGAGATGTTCGAGAGCTCTAAAGCGACAAAGTAACAACATTCACTAGCTGTTCTAGCCTAATTAGGCTCCGATGAGGAAATATGATTAATTTTGAACCGAGACATGTAGCACGTACTAGGTTAGTGAAATTTAACGGGAACTGGCTGATAAAAACTCACTTTTGAATCTTCCCCAGGCAATACTTTTGGTACGTCTCCCCCTTTTCTGACTGACGAGCATATTTTGTTTTGAGGGCTTCAATATGTTTCAGTAATTCCTCCTGGGCCTTAACAACGAAAACGAAAGCCGTTTTAACCTCAATTTATGAAAAAAAAAGTATCAAGTGAATTTACTGCGCAATGGATCGGGCATGTCCACTGTGGGTACCAATCTATAAATAATATTTGTGCGAAAAGTTGCGTCAAAGCGTTTGTTTGAAATTTAAGTTGTTGCAAACTACTTAAACATTACCCAAAAGACCAACACCGATCAAGAACAACGCGACTTCGCGCTGGTGGAAAATGTCGTTGGTCCATGATGTTAATATAGCGGAATTGTTCAATCAGGACAGAACCCGCTGCAATTGAAATATCAGGATTTTGCGCGAAGGATTATTCTAGCGAATTAAAGTAGGATGCAGATTAAGAGACGTATGAAATATAACACACAAACACAATCAACCACGTTCGAGACCTAAGCAGGCACAAACACACGAAACGAGCCATGGACGTTACGGCACTTAGTTGCAGTACAATGTTGATACCTAAGCGAACAAGCCTACCTCTTGTTTCTTGCCAATTATTTCGCGCATCCGATCATTTCGTTTCTGAGAGTCAAGGACAGCAGCGTGGAGGGTGGTGACTTGCCTTTTGGCGTCACCGAGTTCGTCGCCGGCCTGTGCCATCGCACTGGCCGTCGCGAAACGCATCTGACAATTTTGATCCAGAGCGTCCTCAAACGACGCGCGGAAATTCCCTAGAACCATTCTACAAATTTCGCAAAGTACTTGTTAGAGAACGCTTCCGATAATGTACAATACATAATCGTCAAGAATTGCAGAACATGGATGTTTAAAGCAAATGCGACTTGAAACTGTCGAAATCTGATAAAACTGCTCCAATTTCGGGGTTATTCTACATTAAATTTTGTGCACTAATAAATAGTAACCCTCCTCATTTATTTGTCCTTTTTACGAATCTCATCACCTGAGAATATCCTCCTTTGTTCTTAACGCGTCTATTTCCTTGCGGAGTAACACCTTTTCATCTTCAGCTGTCACATACCGGTCCACTACGAGCTCGGTCTCAACGCTGTTTCTGCGTCCCGGTTGACGCGGTACTGGTTGAGGATCAGAAGTGACAGTGATCACCGGTGACCGCTGCGCGGCACGGCATTCTATGGTTAAGTGTGCTGACGCCTGGCAAAGGGATGGTCAGAGTGAAGTTAAGGCGAGCTGACAATATTTGTACGCGAGACGCTATGCTTAGTGCAGGAATACTCAAATGTTCGTTAAATGAAATTGTAATTTAAAACTCACGGATCAGTCGCACAATAAGAAATCTAACACGAGAAACGTTGAAAAATTAAAAGTAAAGAAGTACCGCGGATCACTGGGGCAGTCAACGGAAAACGCATAAAAACAATGGGGGTTAAGCGAAAGTTGGCCATCAAATCGCTGTTTACCAAAAAACAAACATTAAAAAGGCTGGCATTCGCAAAGTGTGCTGATCGCCCGATTCACATTGCCGATGGGATCATTTTCAAAGGCGCAAAAGAATGTATCTAAGCCGATATGCGCATTCAAGCACCTTTAAGGAGTATATGACATGGATTATCATTAAGTACGATTATCCACCGAGTTAAAGGTTGCGTATTGGTATTGACTCAATCGCTGATATTACATAACCTACTTTCGAAACGGAAAATTAAAGAACTTTTCGTCCACTCTTAAACCGAAATACGACGTTCAGATAATTGATACACTACAAATACGCGGGGTCAAGTTCATGCGAATTCTCGCAAATTTCTCGACTCATGTGTTATGGAATTTTGAGGAAAAAATCCCCGAAGTCAGATAATTGACCAGACTGTGAAAGCAAAATCCAAAACGACTACTTACACCTCTGTTTAGCATAATTACGTATACTTCACGGAACTTTAACTCCAACAAGACTACGGCAAGCAATAGACAGGAATGGGAACAGGGTCGATTACAAAGGGACTGTATTCACTTAGGCAAAATATAGACACGATAAACAGCTGAGCAACATTACATAAATCGAACAAATTACCACTTCATTCGATCTCCTTAAGTTTATAAACTTTCGAATTCTACTAATTCCCTTTTTAGCTTTTTTGTTGCAGGTGGGGATTTTTCAGCATATTCATAAGCTTTGGAGCATTAATTGAACATGAGTTGAATTATGAACCAGAGAAGCGAGGGAGTTTCGAAAAAAAATACTAAGGTAGATTTAAATTATCCGATATATTTATGATTGACACGGACAATGTGCAGACCTACCGATGGTGAAACGTTCTCCTTATCGTCATGCTCAAACTCAATGCCCGTAGTAATACATTCTTTGATAAAACGTGGCGGATGTTGAGAAGCACCAGACGAATTGCAGTCCACAGATTGGCAACCAGAATTGGAGTAAATGTTACTCTACAATTAAAGACATCAAAGCTGTCTTTAAGAGATTAGCAAGAAAGCAGGGCGTCAATTATGAACAGGGCCAATCTTGAGTTAGGACAAATTAGTGTACAACAACCTAAAGGGATAAAGTAGATCTTGGTAAAAATCAAAATGGTCATTGGGATTACATTTCTGGTAATAAGCTAGACCAATATGATACGAGAAATAATAACTTCGTGCAATTAAAAATCAGTTAAACGAGGGAGAATCTACTAGTACTTGTACAACCTAAGTGACTAACTACAAATTCTTTCATTAATGGGATTAAAAGTAGTGGATAAAGTAGTTCTACTCAGCAAAACAATGAGCTATGAAAATCAAACGAACTCTTGTTGATTCGCTTTCCACAGCCATGGGCGCATGCGTAGTTGACTGAATACTGTTTAGAAGAGGAGACGGCTGATCCAACGTTATTGTTTTTCTTCGTTTGTGAGATTCCTTAGACTTGGAATTCTCCAACGCCGGAGGAGACCCATTAAACGCAAGTACATTTTCTTGAGGCATAATTTCAACTTCAGATCTCTGTTCCTGCTCACTGATAATCGATTCAGACTTCCTGCTTCTAGCAACCGATTGTCTGCGAGCATTTTGATCATCATCATCAAGCCTACACATCGCCAACGGATGATTTGACTGCAAAGTCCGGAGGGATCTCGGTGCGCCATGAGGAGTTTGAGCACCAGGAGCCAAGAGGGCTGCACGAAGATGAGAAACAGAAGTAGTGTCAGTGAGTATATTGTTTGGTTCCACGGAACTCTCTTGCTTAAATGTGGCGGCGGTGATGGATGGTTCATATTCCCCTGCCACGTCGCCCGAGATATTCGGTTGAGTGACCACAAGGCGGTTTTGATTGTAATAGCAAGGGGTTGTGTTGTGCGTAGACTGAACAACGGCTTTCTGCCGTTTTGTAGTTTTGTCCTGAACAAATTCCTGAGATACAACTAATTTATTTTCGAACTCGTCACCTTTTCCCCCTTCACATCGCAAAACGCACCCCGAAGATAGTAAGTTAAGGTGGAATGTTTCAGGTACTTGGTCGGTGATGCTCTGATGAAAGGTGGCCGATGTTTCCGCCTCCTTCGACCCCGACGTTAGCTGATCGACCTCTTCAGTTGGCACACCAGTTGTCACATTTTGCTGAGACCTCACAGAGGGCACAGGAGTTGTATTGGAGGTTCCACAAACAGATGTCTCAGGAGATGTGAGTAAGGTACGTGTTAAAAAATTCTCTTTAAGACGAACCGAGGGCGCTGGAGAGACCTGTGTGCTAATAGCGTCTGAATATTCCGAGGACTCACTGATCGGCTCACACTGCGTATCCTCCAACATTGCGCTTCGTAAGTGGACTACCGGAGGCGGTGGCGGGGGAATGGTCAAGTTGCTACCACCTTCATTTTCCTCATCGCGCTCTCGGCTGGGCGAGAAGAACACTAATGGAGACACCAAAATTTGGACGTATATTAGTGAAATTTGAAAAACTCAGATTCTTCGACGTTCTGTGAAGAGATGGAGAATAGCATAAATAAATAGGAAAACAACCAGAAATTCAACTGAAGATACACCAACTGAGGTTGATTTAATACAAACTGAGAAAGATGTGAGGATTTATCGAGGCTAGTTCTCATTTCATCGAGGTTATCAAGTGATAAGACCTTCACGTAAATAAGTGAAATGCAAATTATTACATTTAAATGTAAAATGAAAAGTACCTTCATCTTGTCCCGACTTTTCTTCCGCAACAGCGATCTTTTCAAACGCACTTATCAAGCTGTCCTCGCAGTGTAAGTCCTGAGCGGATTCACAGTCTTCGATGCTGTGTGCCGGCATTTCGTTGCAGGGATTAGATAGACTCGACCAAGGAGAGAGGAGGGAGGTTACAACACCGGCAACGAGTTGCGAGCTCCTAGCAAGGAGGGGAGAAATAACAGGGAGCCGCTGGGGTATCGCGGGAGTTTGCGGTGTACAAGTCTCAAAAATTGGATGACCAATATGGGTGTTCCGACCGTGAGCCAAGGTCGAAAGACTGCTTCTTCTCTCGCCTAACGTGCGTGGCTTGTCTGGACTAGAAAAAATGGACATACATTATCCGTGTGTTCATAAAAAACTGAAAAGATCACAGTTGTGAATGCAATCAACCATCAGCTACAAAATCCGAAAAAGAAACTTGAAACCACAACAATAAACCTACGTGCCCTTTGTTGAAACCCGACCAGTAAGTGAACATCGGGCTACAATTAAAAACAAATTTTTTTAAGCGTTGTACAAAATTGACTTAGATTGCCGTAAACCAAAAATGTAGCTCACGAGCTGTTTCGGTATTCTGAGAAGAAAGATTTCCATCAGTATGGCTTTCTACAGTCCGAAAAACTATAAAAATAGACAGATTCAGTTAGTCGAAAAGGCACAATACAGAGTATATAACACGGAGCTTTCCAAGATCAAAGAAATTCTAAAAACACGTTGCAGTAAAACCTCTTTTTGGTATAAGGTAGTCAAAGGAAGATAAGGCAGGTTGGGGTTGCATCAAGGGTCCAAGTCAAAGATCAATTGAAAATAAAATATAGTCGACCACAACCTCAAAAATATGCTTAAAATGCATAGCCGTGGCATCTCATTAGAAAATACTAGGAAGCAAAAAACAGAAGAAACAGTCAATTAAACATACACGTCGATGAACAGAAAAGGGCCACCTATGCAAAATCATGACACACACACACACGGACCACAAAATCCATGTGATAGCGAAGCAAACCAAGTCGTCAACTAACGAACGACTCTAGACAGCTTGTTAAAGTTGGATTAAACTCAAATCACGCAATAATGGAAACACCAAACCTGAAAAATACATAAAAAGGTACACGGACAGTATGGCCACTATGGTTATAGCTTCTGTGAGAAATCACAGGATAACAAAAATTTCAAACAAATTGCATTTAAGAGAGCGTTAAAATGCGGCAATAGCTGCTCAAAACAAGAATTTTCCGTTTTTTAGGGAAATAAACGCCTGGAATGAGAACACATTGGTGGCCTTCGGTATAGAGCTAGGGACAAACATCGTGGTTGAAGAACTGATAGTCAGTAATGGAAAGGTTAAATGAATAGAAATAATCAGCACAAAAACCTTTCAGCATCAGGTTAATGTTCTCTTTATTTTCAAATACTGCAACAGATTTCAAACTTGTTCTAAGTGCGATAATAGCATATAGATATTATGATGTAAAATGCATAGGAACGTAGTCAGTGGAGACTAAAATATATTGAATGATTTCGCAGATTTTATTTTACAAAAAAGCGTGAGCTGCATCACGGTGTTGTGAAGAAAATGGCAAATAGCTTCATATGAGCCCGCAGGCATACTAATTCAACCACACAGGTGTTTTTTATTTAAGATTTCCTGCATTTCTTACACGAGATTAAGTTAGATTGAGAAATGGGCATAAAAGAAGGAAGGAATTGGGTCGTCGCTTAAAGTTGCACACATCATCCTTCGTGTAATTACAGCCCAAACGCTATCTGGAGGTTGCAACGACAGCTCTTTGGTGTAGACAAAGCAGCCTACCGTTGCAATAATGGCCAAGAAATCAAGACATAATGTGCACCTGAAGAGAATACATTCGTCCGCAAAGTAAAGGTTACGGCTAGCAACGGAATTGAATCGTTCGTCACGTACTGCATACATTATTTGCACACACTTCGGCACTTCATTTTAAGGGAAAACATTTAACAAGAAACCCCGCTAACTAATGCCTAAAAATTGGATTAACTTGACAACAACCTGAAACAGGCTAATACACTTTAGCTCTTTTCCGTTAATTTTTGATTTAATTTCAGTTCCGTCTACTCAAAAATTGTGCATTGTTTACGGAACAATCTGTTTTACTTAGCGAACAAAAATTCTTTTCTGATGTTGATAAATGAATTGTTGGCGAGTCACCGTTGATTTTACTAAATCATAAATGCGTACACTGCAACATAATGATTTGAATTGCTTAGCAAGGCTTTTGATCATAAATTAGGAAAAGTGACATTTTAACCCGTTTTGGTAGCAGATTTCAACAACACAATAACGCAAGCAGGCATCTTGAACTAAGTTGAAATCTAAAATTATCAGCAAACTCTGAATGCTGTACCCCGCTACATAAAACAGGAAGCAAAATGTTTAAGTGGAGCGGATCATGAAGTCAAAAAATGAGGCTCTCTGTACGGCCACGGAACCAAAGAAACAACAATTACCACGGAACCAATTAGATGAGAAAAATGGGGTTACATAGTTTTGACGACATTTTAAGAGATGGGAAATATGGCATAAATTGGTCTCATTATCAATACCAACGGCAGCGTCAATAGTGAAATGTGATGTAGTTTGACGTCACGGCTTTCTGCCTGAAATTGTTTCTAGCTTAATTGATACGCGCTCGTTTTTTGTGACTGTGATGGACACCATAGCCTAAAATTTTGAAAGGAAAAAAATATCTTAATAACCAGGATACGCTGTCTTAACTAGTACGTTATTCAGAATGCAGCGGATGTGATCAAGTGCACATAAAAAACAACTGATTATCCAACACATGTTCATTAATTGTGCAGGAATGACGAGACAAGACTAAGAAAAATTCGTTGGTGGAAATATTAGAAATTTTGAGAAGTAACCACGGTTAAACAAGCACAGTGGGCTGCTAGCGTTCGAAAAGCTAGCTTCAAGACCCAACTCCTTACAAATTAAGATAGGAAACAACGAAAATTTCTACTTCCGCTCACCTAGAGTGATCAAGAGGTAAACTGAATCGCGAAGTAATAATGGGAAGCGAAAGGGGATATTGAGTGCATTTTAAGTAGGCTAAAAATATCAACAAGTCAATTCAGTGCGTTCCAGCTGCGAAATTACAATTATTTGTACCATCACGAGTCTAAAGGCATATTAATGAGCCAATGCCATAAAAAAGAATGTATCAAGGAATTAACACGCGGAACAGTTAATAATTGACAGGATCATTTCAAATCGCAAAGTTCGCAATTTGAGAAACTTCCACCTTGTCAAAGAGGACATTTTTATACTTCATGTCTAAGTGAGGGTTTTGAATCATACGAAATGTCCCACCAAGAGAAGGCTGAGCGGCTACAACATTGGTTTCAGCCTGGGAAAAAAACATTGGTTTGCAACCCGCTTAAGGAAAGACTGACAACAAACAACTACGTCGTGAGGGAGCATATTTACAGAGCAAGTGTCTAACACGAAAGCATACCTTAATCAAAAGGCGCCGTAAACATGCCAACAAGGATATACGTGGGATACAGTGATTCGTGAGCAGTAATATGACATGTGCTAAAACGTGCCACAAATTATTTGCCAGGCATTATGAGTAAAACCCTAACAACAGTATAAACCTGTTGGTTTTGGGCTAATTTCGAATTCCTAAGTAAGACGGTAACTCACTTCCACGATTTTACACTTGTAGGTTAAGTTACAAGAAGTGCAGAAAAGTGAAAGAATAGTGATGCAAAAGGATAACGGCGCAATACGCTACCGAAATGTGCAGAATTTTGGACGTTGACAAGAATAGAACAATTCAAAAGTTTTGAGGACTAGAAAATTACACAGGATCAGAAACTCCATTTAGATAGACAAAACAATAAATTCACCAATTTCCGGCATTGCAATGACAGGTATGCGATTTCAGTGAATAGACGCATCGTTGTAGACCAGTGGAACATAGTAAAAGTACATTACAGGCATACTTTAGCAATAAATCGTATTCTAGGCGGGGAAAAATGAGCTCATTTACGAAGTGTTTACATGAGGCACAATTTCGACCACGGCAGATGACGATGATATGACTAAAAAGCAACAGACAAAAACAACTTACGTTTAACCTCTTGAATAGAATTACTTCTATCACTGGTCCTACAATTTCGAAAGCATGAACCATTATGTCACAGAAAAACGCGACAGGTACGGGCATTGAGTCGGTACTTCAAGATGTGAAATTGCTTGAAAACGACGTTGCGATGATAAACAGTACGTGTAAAAACATCGATGATCAACGTGACTTTATTTTACTCTGTGAAAGGTTCACAAATTATAATTTGCACGCTGAATATCAATGAAGTGTTAATACCTGACACAAAAGAACAAAGTATAATGATGCTCGAAAACGTAACTGATTTTGACAAAACGTGAATAATGGTTGTTTGGAAATGAAAGAGCATTAGAAGTCGGATTGCCAGTTATTAATTTAGCTATTATTCAGTGATAAGGTTTGCCCAGAAAAAAATTACTTTAATATATGAGCCCTTCGCCCCAATTGTCTACCATACTCACCCCGACGGCGTGTTTTCACATGTATCAGTCTCATCAAGCAGAGCAAAATCCTCCGACGTGAGAGTGATTGGTGGCCGAAGCTGGGACGTTCTGACCGTGACAACACCATCGGAGTTACGAAATGCGACGGGAGAATCAGCCAAGAGTTGGTCAATTTCCTGGGGTGCCAACCGGGAGAGCCCCTTACGATCACACATTACCTTAGTTATGAAAAGTAGTGGTACTGTTGAATGTGATGGCATATACAGGTGGTGGTAGGATCTGTTATCAGACACAAAGTTGGTGAACCACAAATGAAAAGCACACAAATACACCAGATGCAATAAACAAATACGCAGGTATCAACTATCGTCTAAAGTTGAGGTCACAGTGTTTGAATGCTCGATGTAAATATCTGATAGACGCTGCAGCCACGATTGAATGCTCCAAGGATACGACACGCACCCAGATTTAACGCTGACGAGATGTAGATTAATGCCTCACCCTCTTCAAACTTATGACACGGTAAAATGTGGCAATACTTCGACATGTCATAACAGGAAAACACTGGGAGCGAGATTCCGCATGAGAGAACTCGAACTAATGAATACGATAGGCCCGATTCGCCAAACTTGACACTAAATATAACACAAAGCTGTTAAATTGTCGTTCATAATCTAAACAGTCCCTCAGAATGCCGCCCACTGATGCGAATGCCCCTGTTGCGTATCAGCGGTCGGAATAGGTGAGACTAATACAGTCCTAACCAGTAAAATGAAGAATCTTAGGCGAAAAACGGGTTACTAAAAAGGACCTATCGAAGGAAATTTCGACAGCACAGTATCAAACAAGTACTCATTTACTTGACCAGTCAGGTCAGACGGATGCAAGTTTACGCAGTTCGAATTAGAAACACTGGCTTATATTTGATAAGTGCAGGACTGCCTTCGCATAGAACCAAATTCCACTGGGAATTTCATAAATTGGAGGGATGAACAAAAACAGTTAACACACAGAGGTAACTCAATCAAGACCGACAAAGGAGCTCAAGGAGCTGATAAGTATCGACAACTAGCGAATGAAACCTAAAAACTACTACTGATCGCTGCCATCAGACGTAACTTAGGACATTTGCCATGAACCTCTAAGTCCCATTTGTAAACTGCAGGAATCCGACATTGGAAGGTAGAAAAGTACTTGAAACTGCAATAACTTGCGGTACATCCTATACACGAACAATAAACGAACCCCACACACAACAACAAAGACAGGCCAAAGCTAGCGAGGGAATGAAGCCGACACATTTATCAATAATTTATTCGAGTTTCTAAATGTATATGTACCAAAAAATGGGACGCTGAATGCTGTTAGCATGTGTACATAAGATGGTGGCGTTCGACAAAAAATTGAGGAACAAAACAGCACAAACGCTATGCGGGGAGGGATGTACGAGTACTACCGAGAATCAGAATCCGGGAGGCGTTCTAAAAATTCCTCCAGCATGGTAGCACACTGACTCGGTTCCATTGCTCTGTAACGAATATCGGCCTTGAGAGTACTTAAAATATCGTCTAGAAGAGTATCATTTTCAGAAGACTGGCGTTTTGCCCTGAAAGCCAAAAGGAAAGTGTTAAACATATTTAGGGCACCTCAAATAGATAAAACGAGCACTTTTCTATTAATATTAAAAGATGCGTTTTGAAAATTGCTAAAAGTTGGTTAGTCCACTTCAGTTCAAGGGAATCTAAGCGCTAGACCAGGATAGCCAATTTCATTAACAGTTTTATGAATGCGCGAATAACTAGAAAACTATCAGGGGTGAAATATTTAGGTTGTGGAAGGCTCTGGGCAGGATTCTATGATTTTTGCATAAGGAAGCGTACAGAGATACATAACAAGTGGACAGAGGTGCAATCATTGACATGTCACATCACGACGGTTTTGAACGCGACGACCAACAACGATAAAACGAAGTGAACGAGGCTATAAGCATCGACACTACACACGAAACCTTAGCCCTCTAAATTCTAAGTAGAAATAACGCGCCGGGAGGCATTAAGGTTTTTTGTCTTATGTTACGAAAGAAATAAGACACTTCAGTTTATCAAGCTGACGAGCGTCAGCCCCACCATTTGAAGAAACTCACGATGAAATCAATGAAGACTTTTCCTTCAGCATCTCTGTAAAGTTGTTTCTTGCTTTGGACTCACGTTCATCGGCCCATTCACGGAATTCCGACTTCCATTTTTTCTCACATGATAAAAGCCTTTCGAAACGCGAGTCATCCTTGAGGATATCCTTTACCTCCTTCCAAGTAGTCCAATATGTAATCTTATCAAGAAAATATCAGAAAAAAATGTAAGGTTGGGACCGTACAAACTATTTGCTGCATTATGGGCTCAATTTATACAAATAGACAGTCGTGTAAGCCAAACGAGGAAAACTCATGATTAAGGTTGTTTGCATTTACAAACACAATAATGTATTTTCAGCAATGACGATTTAATCTAAAATCAATCACCTGGTGTGAGCAAACGCTTCACATAAAATAATATAATGGAATTGTAGAACGGCTGTCGTAAACGCCTGAAAGTAACGTACTGAGTCATTGCTATTGATCATTTTAATAAAGGCTTCTTTTGATTTTTTGTTGAGACTGGTCGTGTATGAATCAAAGATAGCTTCACGTTCGCTCCTGGAAAGAACGTCAGCTACGGCATCCCAACGGGAGTCTTTGCGTAAAGCCTTTTTAGCCTCCTTCCAAGACAGCATATCAGCCTTGATGACGTCTGTGAGAAGGGCATTGAAACTTGCTTCCGCCTCCCTGCGTAGGTGGGACTCACGTTCGCGATCCCGTTCTCTCATCGAGTTGGTACGGGCTTCCTCCACTTCTTTCTTACGTTCACGCAATGAGGCCTCCTGACGCTCACGCTTCTCACGTTCCTTCCGCTTTTCACTGTCCTCACGAGAAGTGCCCTGCAACAAATATGATATCCATTGTTCAAAAAGCAATCACCTAGCTTTCGAATCGGGTTAGTCTTTCCATGTCATTAAGCGATTGGGCAAACCCGTGATTGCAGGAAACATGTACTTCACTGATTTGCTGTAAAATGTATTTTTGCACCAAATAATTTACTAAGACCTCGTAGTTGCTCATTTTCACTAGTCCCCAAAATAGTGTTAAAAAGGACACAGGATGAATAACAACCTTGAAAGGAACCTACTAAATCATACCTATCTAGTTGCGATGAATAAACAGAAATACACATGACACAAAAACAACCTTCAAGAAAGAGACCACACGTAGCTTACATCATCGAGTTTCCGAATGTACTCTCGGAACCACTCTTCACGACGGCTAGAGGAGTCAACAGCTCGATATCGCGAGTCTGAGTCAATCTTTTTCTTGACATCAGACCAACGTGAGTGCCTCGAAATTGACTTTCGCTCTTTTAGGAGACTAACGAAGTCAATTTTTACCTACAAAAAAATAATTATAAATAACTAAACATTTGAACTGAAGGTTCGTCACCGGATCGCACGTTTTCTGAGAACCTGTAATAGGAAGGGCGAACCATCTATAGCAAAAAACATGGCCTCCTGTATTGATGGGGGGCAGTCGAATTGCCTAACCAGTGTATTTAATGTTTTATAAGCAAAGGTCAGATCGCTATGATTCCGAAACAGTAAATTACGATAAAAAAAAATTATGAAGTATCAGACGACAAGGTAATCAAATCGTGGCAAGAGATCAGGTTCTAAATCTCCGTTAAAAACCACATGAAGATGAACGGAAATGTATGCCAGATTGGAGAGTGGTTTTACAAAATAGTGTTCCTTAAAATAATTTCAAATTTAAACAAGATCCCAGTGATATAAGAAATTTGGATAGCGAGAAACAAATAAACATCTAATTTGGCTTTCAGAACACATTCAAAGCCCGTAAAATAGGTTCATTAGGGCAATTTTATTTTTTCTATACAGGCTAGGCCCTAGACCATAACAGCGTCAAAAGCAATTGGACAAAAAATGCACATGACGAATAAACGTGTAAATCAACGTTCATAAAAACAAACCCCTTCACAACACAAGCCCACGATGTCCGTTTACTTAAACTTTATTTAGTATGGACGTACGAGAGAGACGGATGCAATAGTATAAAAAGACAATCAGGATACTCGAAAAAACGCTTAAAACATTTTAAGAAAGCAATTGTGAAGGCGCTTATTTTTACGAACGAAACACATCGTGGAGCCTGGAAGCACGAAAGAGAGGTGCTCTATACAAATTTTATGGCAGCGAGCAATCAATGGAAATAAGTCCAGACGATAAGATTTTATCGCTAAGTGTAGATGACGCCGAGACGACGACTTTTCCTGGCTAGGCTGTTGTATCTTCGGATTTACAACGTGAAGAAATCGAAGACGCCATCATTGAGTCCATTGCCACAACCTCGCGAGCATCTCACAAGCACACAGATAGTTTGGTTGTGAAGCAAAACAAACCTGCCAACGGGAGCGAGTGACTTCCAAGCAGGCACAGATGAGGAGTCACGTACAGTCGGAAGTTTCGGAGTGGCGGGGTTCACGGCCTCCGAAAGCACAGAGGTGCTCTGTGGCCCACGTGCGTGCTTCACCACCAACCCAAGCATCAGTTTTCTGTCTGCCTCATGCGGGTGGTCGCTGACGCTGCTTTTCCCGGAAACTAATCGCCCGTTAATTTGGTTGCTGTGCTGCAGTGCGTTAAAAAGGAAGTTTTCTTGATATACTGTCTACTACACCACTTCTTACACAAATTATATAAGTAAGACTAGGTCGTTAGATATCCCAGGAATCCATTGCCCCGATAAACCAGCATGCACTCTAACTTGCTATTTTGCTGGTCTGTACGCAGTTATAAGCCAAAGAGCCATAACATACACCAAATTCAGCCTTCACGGTATTTCCAGTGAGTACGTTGATTGTACAAAATCCTTGGAGACCGGCAAATAGATCTGAAATCAGTGTCCTGAGTGCTCTATAAAAAAGGCGAATTTAGGAACTTAACCAGATTTATAGAAGACACGAATATTGACGGGACGAGCTTCTGTTTAACAAGTAGTACATCTTTATAGTTAACCAAAGTGGTAAATTTAACCAAACCATAACTACCAACTTTGAGTTTAGCGAGTAATCCTGTAAGCGGCGACACAAACACCACATATAGCATCAACTTCATTTCCGACCCCTAATAAACACATAATGAAAAATAACCGGATTAATCCTTGAAAAATAATTACAAATCGGAATCTATGCACCATTTTACGTTTCACTAAAATACCATGTGGACACCAGAACCCTAAAACCCTTTTAAATCCATCAATGTAGACAATTTATGCCGATGCAACGATACCAACTACCAATGAGTATGTCCAAGAAGCCAAAATTACTTCAATAAATTTACGTAAGGGATCTTGAAGAACCAAAAGATGTTTACTACAAAAAATGTCATTTCAGATGATATAACCAAGAGAACGTCAATTAACGTAAAACCCTCCTAATGGTAAGTGATTCTGTATAGAAATAAATGATGGGTTGGTGAACGGTACAATCAAAATGAACAAAGAGCTCGAGTGAAACATTAAATACATAAACAGAGTACAACTCTGAGTATAAATTGATAACCACGAAATGCAATTTGCATAATAACTGGAGTTATGACACTCAGGTAAGAATGTTTCACACATGCACGGAGCCATTCCTTAGAAAAACTATTGGTGAAAAAAAAACTAACCAACTGAATGGTTAGTAGGTATGTGAAAGGCAACGAAGTTCTTTACGCACCTTTTCCTTTTGGTTGCTTTTCTCCTTCTCTCGGCGACGCAAATCCAAAAGGAAGGTTTGGAAGAGAGACTCTCTTTCACGAGACTTTTCTATGCCCTTGAACCTTTCATCACGTCCATATTTGGAGGCAAAATCCGAGAAGGACGACCTGAATTAAACAGAGGATGATAAATAGCAATTAAGAACAAACTATAAAAGGAGTATGACGGGCATGAACGTGCGCTTACAATCGTACTGGTGAACGATACTGATGAGGCCGATTATACAAAGGCTTAATTCATAAAGTTTAGAGCACCAATAAGTTTCCGCATTCAAGCAACAACACTCCCAGAGACTACGTTCTGTAGCGAAATTCGATTATTGACTGACATGCAGTGAAATGTTAATGAATATGCAGAACCAAAATTGAATTAAACTCACTTAGAGGTAAGATTGGCCTCGACAAGGAGTTCATTGAACTTGTCCTTTTTTTCGCGTAGTTTGTTCTTTTTCTCACGGCGTTCTTCGTCCGCGCGTTCCCTAACATAGGCCTCAAATGCTTGCTTTCTTTCTTCGCAGGTGAGAAGGAGATAACGTTGGTCAAATACTATCTTGTGCAACTCCTTGTCCCACGTGGAAAAAGCTGATACCTTCAAGGAGAAAATCCTGGGTAATACATAACAAAATTGAGTTACAACAATAGTACGAGACTCACCTGTTTATCAATCAGCATTTCGCGAAATTGCTGAAGGCGAACTTCAAGAGGCAGACTAGCCTGATCTTTTGCGGCCTTTTCATACGCTTCCTTCGCCACATCCACAGTAGCGGGGTCGCGGGTCTGAGATTTTGCTTCATCGTCGACAGTTGTCACCAGCTCAGACTTTGAAAATGACTCCTGAACAGAAATTTGCTGCTGATTCTGGCTGACTTCTTCCCTGTACATATATACACAGTTAAGCAAGATAGTGATAAATGCCGGTCGAATACATTGCAATACTCACATTCGTGCTTTTTTGGCCGGAGGATCTTGCACACTCGATGTGTCATTCCTCTCAGTTTCAACGTCACCAGCATCCTTGCTCTCGTTGGGGGGTTTCTCAAGCAGACGGTCTACGTCCGCGCGACCTTTTAGTTCCTCAGGCGTCTCCCAAACACTGATCCGTTTACTTGGATTGAAGAAGAACACACGACTATCCCCAGTCCACACTACACACCACGGCGTTCCAGTCACAGCAGTACTTGAAATTGGTCGACTGGCATCCCTCTGTTCGGGCTCTTTTTCTTTCTCAGGTTCCAACATATGGTCCTCCACAGGCTGCTGTTGTCGGGTAGGAGGGTCAGTTTGTTTTTTTTCTGTTGACATTACTTGTTGGCCTTGTAAGAGTTTGGTCTCCGATGGCAAGCCGTTGCCCGAACCAGGAGTGGACTGGGAAGACACCCACAATTTTTAATGCAGTGCAAAATTACCGAAACCAATACCCAAAACAACTAAGTAACAACTGACAATGAGCCACCAACGTGTTCACAGGAAGGCTCGCACTTAACAAATAATAGCCACATTTCTCCAATCAAATTACTAAGATGCAAAAGCAACGAAGGCATTAAGGCGTACAGATAACCATCTAGGCAGCCAACGACAATAGCACGTTCATGGCCAGGAATCATAAAACAACAATGTATCTCTCCAAACGTGAGACTTCGCCTATTTAAATAACGTTAGCCACCGAAAATTGAACTAGCAGAAAGGTTAATTTTAATTATCAAAGTCGACCTTGTCCATTTTCCACAAATCTTTGTAAGTCAAAGAGAAGGGTTGACAAAATATGTACCTTATCACGAACTTCCGTGACTGGAGCCGAAGTGTCCAACGGCACGGGTTCAGAGTCGCCCGATATTTTGTGTCCACCTAGACGAATAAAAACGAATTTAAACTCTTGAATTGCGCCAAACACTATCAAAAGTCGACTTATTTACTTCGCTGAAGCACATTACTACGCTACAAAAACATCTACATTTAGCATTAAGCTGCTAAAAGAGGAAATAGACATCCCCCAAACACACTGAGGTAAGTCGTTAATAAAATGCAAATATTTATTCGACTTAAATAAAATGCTTTAAAATTCCTTACTCTCCCAATCTACTAGAACCTGCGGCTTATCCCAGGTTGTTTGTCCCGTACGACTGTTGTGATAATATGATTTTCCGTCACCGCTTTGATACTCAGTCCAGACGGCTACCTCGGGTGGCTTTATAGGTAAAGGGTTTGCCTGAATCGGAAAGCTCGATGACTGAGAAATGACCGGAGCAGCTTGAAGATTACTGGATTGAGCTGGCATACTTGGCTTATCGACTTCACCTTGTCGAAGAATCGTGACATTTTCAGGACGATCCCAACGAGTTTCGCGGGTGCGCATATTGTAGTAGTAAACCTTGCCATCTGCAGCCGCATTTTCAACCCATATTTCTTCTTTATTGTTGATAGATGAGGTCGATCCACCTATTGATTGCAGTGGAGGCTGGCCAGACAAGTGTGGAGGAGCACCAGACCCGCTAGGAAAACTTCCAGGTGGCGCGTTATGCTGCCCAGGTGGAGGCATACTATACATTCCCATGGGTCCGACATGCATCATTGGTGGAACTGATGGTGGGAAACCCATTGGCATGAAAGGTGGTCCATTTTGCATCGGTGGCAATCCTGATTGATAAACGTTTTGTGGAGGACCGTAGGGAGGCATTGCATATGGCTGCATTGAATTTGCCGACATATTACCAGATTGAGTGTCGCTTTCAGGTGGTGGGCCGGACGGCAATAGAGGTCCGCCTGGCGGTGGAACATTTGAGGAACCACCGTGTCTCGGAGAGGATACATCAAGCTCCTGATTTGGTGCTGGCATATCCCCATTAGGTGTAACACCGGATTGAGATGGTATGCCATACTGATGCGGAGGTACGGTACCAGGTTGTGGTCCTGATTGACCTACAGTACATGACGATGTAAGTCAGTTAAAAACTAACGCGTCACAGGATAAGAGTAAATCATTACCGTCAAAGGAATTAACTCCTTGAGCATTTGGAGACTGTGGGGGGTAGCTGACCCCTGGTGGAGGCACACTCCTGGGAGGCGGCATATAATTTGGTACACCCGGCCTAGGAGGCCCATAGCCAGGTAACCCCATTTCCGGTCCATTTGGCCCACCATTCATCATTGGTCTTGGACACGGGGGCCCACCAATATAAGATCCAGGAGGTGGCCCATAACCCCTTGCGTGTGGCGGACCACGGGGCCGCATTCCCGGTGGCATCTGCTGGAAGTCGTCTGGGTAGCAATCCTGATCAAAATAGCCTTCGATATTCTCACCACTAGGATCCGAGTCACTCAATCTTGGAGGGTAACGCTGTGGGGGATATCTAAGCGGCCCCCTATGAGACATGTCAAAAGGTGGTCGCGGTGGACCATCGAAAGGCCTTGGTGGACCTCGATATCCTGGCATTCCTGGGGGACGCATACCAGGCGGACCACCCCTAGTGAACAGTTATTTTATTTAAACCATTTACCTCATGCCCATAGGACGAGGTCCACGCATAGATGGGCCACGATAACCAATTGGAGGCATCCCAGGTGGCCTCATAGCAGGGCGGAAAGGTTGAGACATGCAAGGATGCCTGGGAACATTTTGAGTCGGACTAATGAAACCCGCTAGTACATTCACATAAAAAAATTTACCTAAACATCTGCCTAGGCTGCTTAGCTTGAGGACTTTGGGGCTCATCATCCTCTTCGGTTTGCTCAACCTCAGGCTCCACGACATCAGTTTCCTCCGACATTTTAGTAATAGCGAAACCAACGGGGACCCAAACACAGATAAACAAAAGAGAGAAAAATGCAATTGTGTGAACACATTATTTAACTTTCGGTTTTTTTAGCCAAAACAGTACCTATATAAGTAAATTTTAAATGTAACGTTAAACTTTGGCCAAAGTGGCCTACTTTACAACAAATCAAAATACTTGTAAGAGGATGTTTACATACAAATGTGAACATTTGTGCATTCCTGTGCATGTAGTTTTCTCATTACTCTTTTTCGTCGTTTGGTCATTTGTTCACGTACACTTTTGCAAGTTTTCACAGATCTCATTGACCAGCATGCTTCATTAGTCAAACATGAAATTTTATGCACTGCGGTGCGAAAACTCAACATTGTTGAGACATCTATAATTGTCCCCCTTTACTGATCATCTCCAACAGGCTTTTATTCCTCAAAATATAATCGGTTTAAAAATTCTTTTTAGTTCTTTGTTTTAATACTATTTATTTTCGGAATAACACTCTTAGTGATAATGCAAAATATTTTTACCTGGTGTCTGTTCTGGCAAGTTAGTTGACTAAGAAGATTGAGGTTTTTCTCTTTGCCCTAACACCTTTTTACCCTAATGTACGTTAAAGGCTATGATTATTCAAAGAATACAGCCTGCCACTTCAGAATGCATTGACCAGCATTAATCCTGTGAGTGCTGACCTTAATTTGATGTTACTTTTGAGAAAAATAGAAGAATATTATCCGTAATAGAATTTCATTCGTAATTTTTTGTTCATAATGCACAATGCTTAATGATTAACTCTAAAATATTTGTTAATGACGCAAAAACTTTTATTGTAACAGCACAATACTTCATAATCTTCAAAATTAACACCAATATAAGAATTAACCTATTCTTTACACCCAATCTACGAAAAAAATCTGAGCGATTGCTGTTTAAACTATTACATAAGCAAAAGCGTCTTGTCGTTAGTCCTCCTTGTGCCCAAAGCTTAAGGATTTTGCTTGTCTGGTGAAACCGTAGATGTGCTGATTTTCAATGTAGGCACGTATATCTTACTTATAAGTTAAGGATCAAAAATACCCGACATTCTTGGATTCCACAGTAGACTATTAATTTAGCTGCTATAAAATATTTGTATTCGAAGTAATAACTCAGGAGTCAGTGAATCCATTATCATTTGAACGCAATCTAGTACCTGTTAGTCAAACCCTTCCGTATCTTACCAAAAGGTAACGGTGAAAAAATTCGTACATTCTGTCTAAAATCCCATATTATCAAGTTTGATTCCAAAAATCCAGTTTTGTTGGGTTTTCATGATTGCGGTATTAACTCGTTCAAAAATAAACAGGGGTATTCTCACTTTATTTGCCCACATTTTGACCTAAGGTATTTCTGTATAATAGATTCCCTACTAATCTTGCCGTTGAGAGACCCTTTTTTGAGCTATGAAATTTCAGGCAGACAATGGAGCACATTCAGCCTTAGTGAAAAAAAAATACCCAGACTATTCCAGCCTGACACCTAAACGGGCCGGTACTACTCAATCTGTTGGTAATTAAATCATGACTAATGGTTTCCTTGTTTATACTCAGGTACTGCAATTTTCTCCTAGCAGATATTCGACGGCTTGACGACAATTTAAAGTTGTCGTTGCGAAGGCACACCCTACAATCAGACAATGATAGATCATTAGCACTACACATGGTTAACAGGAAAGCCGTTCGCGTTTAACGTCGCAAGCTAATTAATCGTGCCCTTTACTCAATTACTGAATAGTGTTTACATCCTACACATTGTCTCTATTTTTGATGTTGCATTTTATAAGATCGCCTTCTTTGACCCTATTTTAACTATCGGGTATTTCAAAAATGGCTATTGGAAATGCCTTTGATTCTTTTGAATTCGTCTTTAATGCCTTCTTAGCCTAATTAGTGCAGGTAAGGCCTTTAAAATATTTCTTACTCGTGGATTACCTTGTTTAAGTTTTGTATTCCTGTATATCAACTGCGTATTTATAGTTAGTCAGGATGAAGAGCATCATCGGACACATCAAATTAACAAACATCTTAATGAACACAGCATAAAAAACAACTTGTTAAAAGGCCTTTTTCAAGGTTTCAAAATTCGTTTCCTAGGACACAGAGCCTCCGATGCAACTTTAGGGCCTCCTAACAATTAAATAGGAAAAAAACACCAAATATTGTTTGCTAATTTACTTTGTTGATTCTTGAGCATAACCTGTTTGTACTGTCACTTAATTCTAACACACACAGACTAGTGTAACTTAGCCATGACGCATGTGACACGTCAGATTTTCTACCGTCTTTAACAGATCGCTGACATTTGCAACCATTGTGATTTTTGCAAACCGAGTCACAACACTTGGGTTGAATGTTACAGTTTGCATTTAAAGCTATCAAAATAATGAGATTGAACGCTGAAGTAGGTGATGCACTTGTTTATAATGTAATCCAATTTAAAAACCCATCTCCATGTTCACGATTATAGTGAAAAATTTGTGTTTTAGAAGGACCAAATGGCTTATAAATGAAATTACTAAGGCTGTGTTTTTGGACCAGAGGCAGATTAAGGTTGTGGCGATCAGCAAAGAAGAACAGTTTGAAGTCGTGAGCAAACACGATTCAATTAATTTACGTGAGTTCACTTCATGCAACTACGTGATATAGGGACCAATGTTTAGCGAAGCTATATTAACGCACTTGTTATTCTGTACAAGCAAACATGGCTACTGCATCAAAAAATCAGTTGAGCTACTAGCTACCTGCATTTCTATTCTTATTTTAGTCTGGCCGTGCCAATTCAGACTGTCGGCGCTTTTGTGGTTCCCAAAACTCCACTGGGGACCAAAATAAGCTTATTATCGAAAATGTGAAAATGATTGAGACGCAAAATACTTTATCGACATCCCTGGTAATATAATTGTCGGCCATTATAGCACTAATACTACGTTTTAGAGTTTACTTTTTTGGGGCCTATCATGTTAGCTGTAATAATCGTGATAAACGGCTTCAAAACACACAGGACTCTTTATTGAAAAACCTAAAGCCTACCTAATGAACAGGTAAATAACAATGCCTGTCTGACTCGGCCTAAATAATTCTGCATTTAATCAATCATTTCAAGAGCAACTTAATGCTGCACACAGTAGATGAGGTAGCAAGGCCGTCAAATCCTGGCCGCCTACTCTACTATAAACCACTTTAAACGCTTATTTGAATGCCAGAAACATGTTTTCAACACTAACCCCTATTTATTAAGCTTCGATATCGCTAATGGGAGTCACAATATCAAAATAACATTCTGAATTCCTTTTGCATCATCTTATTATTAGGAGCAATAATTCTTGCATACAAAAGATTTTAATTTTTCTAGGCAAGCATTTTTTAACCTGCTTAGCAGGCATTACTAATCCCAATGTCTAAAATGTGAGATCATTCATGCTGATACGAATCAGCATATGATGCGCAATTTTAGGGGTAAATAAACACACTACAGTCCCACAAAAAACTAATCAAGTGCCCAGAAAATTACCTTTGGTCTTGTTTTTTTTCGTTTTCATGGCTCAAATTAAAGCGTTTTCTTTACAGGGTCACAACTGCAGACCATACTCTCCGTTGGCGAACCGTATATTGAGAGCATAATTCCCCACAAATCGTTGCAAAACTGTTATTCGAAGCTTAAATTACAGAATTTAGAATATCCGACATAACCGCCGTCACATTTACGGACAAATAATATTTAAGTTGGGAAAGAAAACATGGGAAACCGACATTGATTGTGTCAGCAGCATTGTAGCTATTTTGGGGTGACATGGTGCTGCTCGTAATGTACTGCTACCAATGATAATAATAATGATGATGCAAATATATATATATAAATGCATCAAGTTTTCAGTTAACAATTTCAAAAACATTAAAAAATGATTAAAAAACAAATATCTTAGAAGCAATTCCTATGAATTAGTACTGTATGTTAGAATCTTGTAAGTAATCATGGTGGGCGCTGTCTTTCGAACCATACTTTTATGGTAATTCAGCATTTTTTAGACAATAACTTTTTTGCGTCTTTATTCGTTATGAAGACTCTGCGTATTCGAAAACTTTAACAAACAACCTATAGTGTATGGTTTTTACTTTATGATTTGTTCTTTGGATCAATGGCAGCTTAAACAATATGTATCGCAAATTGTTTGAAAATGCAACGAGCCAATAGCACGTCGATTTTTATGTCAACTGTGGTTATTCCTTATTTTGCTGTCTCTAGTATTCTTGGTACATTTATCGAACTGGCCAGTCATTTTTACGCCTAACAAAAATATTCCATGATTATGCTTGATTGCGTTTTCAGCTGTATTGATGGTCCTAGTTGATTTTCTTTAATCCCCATGTTTCCGCCCTAAGTTGCTTTCAGTCATCGATTTTAACTGGCTTTAATCAGCTGCGTACGCAATTCATAGGATTTTGCTCAGCGCTTCTGCATGTGTCCCTAGTGGCTTTTTCTGCATGGTGTTCTTTTAAATTTATTATGTATTGTTTATCACATTTAGTTTAATTCACCCACTTAAACTTATTTCCTCCCTTGGAAGATGCTGAGGCTCGCCTAAATTAAATAATTTGCGCCAATTCTCACGCCTTCGTTAATTTGTTACGGAAGCTTACCTTTTTAATTTTTCTTAGCTGATTATGGCACCCTCATACGTACACAAATTTATTTTGGCTATTACGAGATTTCTGTAATGTTTTTGAAGATGTCTTCGCGAATGCAATGTACACGAACCGGAATATCGGATATGGCTAGAACAGCACAAGAAGGTGAAGTCAAAAGAGCTGCGACATTAAAAATGTCAGCTGAGGCTCGTCTTTTGCGTCATCAGGAATTGGAACGTCAACGAAAGCAGGAGGAGGATGAGCTTACTGACGACTCCTGTCATGCTAGAGTATGTGATTCTTTTTCATTATTGTTTTTGCGAAAAATTAATGTATATTTTCATGGTTTTAGTTCAAGCATGTGCTTTTCTTTAATCAAATTCAATGCACTTGCGTTGTCTGCACATTTTGTCACTCGTAAAAGGACGAATGTTCTTAGAGTAAGGGATGAGTCCCATATATTATGTGTATCTCTTTGTAGTATATGTACGGTTGCTCTAAATTCGCGAAGTATGTTCCTAACTCGTTTTCTGTCTTGTCAAAGCGACGCCGATTTTGCGAAGTTCATTTAACTTTGACTTATGCCTCTGTCGCCCTTCAGTTAATTTCTATGGAAACTGTAATCTCCGTATGTGTTATGGGTTTATGACGCTTGTACGTTATTACGAACGTCATATTTTCTTATTAGTTTCCACAAGTATTGTGGTACGTTTTTATCCCTTGTTGAACAATGGGCCTTTACTCAAAAATAGTTTGCAGTATTTCCATCTGCCCTTGACTTTGGGTTGGTACTGTCGATATCAAATTTGCTTAATGTTTCATCGTCTATTGGTTTTCCCGGTTCCTGTTCCATTTTCCTAAAAATCTGCCTTTAATTTGTCCATTCAATTTTTCTTAACTACTAGAAAACAATTGCCAGGCGAATTTTAAGGAAGCAAACTGAAGTCTCCTTTGGAAGTTGATAAATGTGTTTATTCGCCCTCCGCAAAACCTCATGGGTTTCTTGCTAAGTTTTCTCGTTGACGAAACAGTTGTTCAGAAAAACGACTTTTTATTCATGTAAATAATTAATTCTATAACTAAAATCGCGAACAAATTTGTCATAAGTGGGGCCTCATGTAGTGACTCAGCCGGGTCGAGTTGTTCACTTTACTAATATTAGGAGCACTTACTGAATGACTTTACGTGAGCTTAGGCTCAAGGCTTAGTTCATGAAACCAAACTATTTAGTAGGTTCACGTCACACTTGTGGATCTAAACACAATTGCATTTTACCAGGATTTCAACTTCTAAATGTTGGCACATTGTTCAATTTCTCGCATTGTGTTAGCGTAGAACAATTAAATTCGTTGCCCTGTTTCAAAATCCAAACCTCTTTAATAGTGTTTTTTTGTGTTTTCATATATCGTTCACATTTTTTTCTACAGCACACCGAGCAATCTTACCGAACCCGAATCTCCATTGTCGGCATGAGACATCACAGTAGCCTTTTCAGCCAGGTGTCGTAGTTCGTTTGCAATTCACTTTCCTCCGTGTATGTAGATGGGCGTTCTTGTGTCTTGGTGTTGTGTATAGTGCACAACAAGTAGTGATTAAATCCTACGGTTCGCATGCCTATTCCTATTCCACTGAGTTAAGATTTGAGCTTTTTCGTTACTTGGAAGAGGATGTACCTGCCTATTGCGTGACTTAGTAACGTAAGGTCCTTCTTTTCCACAGTATCTTAACTCTACAATTCGATTTCAAACTTTTTCAACCAGGAAATCTGTATAATATTGAAGGACTGACTTTTGTTGTTGTAACAAATATGTTCTCAATGAGTGGGCATGTTTTTGAATTACATTTGCTCCATCGACCTACTTTTTCCTCAAACCTTGTGTGAATTTTTTCTCTCCATTTTCCGTTTAATTTTAAAGCAAAATCCAGTTTGCATTATGTCATCTTCTCGTACGCATTTACACTTATTGTGATGTCCCGCAAGAACGAAGATGTCACTTGTGCAAGTGGTCGTGGTGGCGTTGTATATCAGCGCAAGTATCATGTGTATTGAAGGGCTGCACTTAGTCGTCGGCGACTTGGCCTCACTTTAAGCCGACATTTACAAAGTGCGATTCTAACTACATAAAATCATCATATTTTGGGGTATGCATTCTGGTTTTTTGATCCTGGTGTAACAGCTCGTATAAATAATGTTATAAATAAAATGCTCAAAATTGATGCCAACAAATTTCGTATTTACTGGAAATAGTTTAACCTGCACTAAAAATCGCATTTTCGAATTTCATCCTCCGTGAAATGTGCTCGTCCGACTTAAATTCTATTGATTGGTGGTCGTTATTTGCAAAACTTGTTTAGCGGGTTCCAAGTGAGCTCAACTTTGAATATTTCCTATAGTTACATTTGATTGGGTTAATGCGTCACGAAATGTCATTCTTAGCCATTATAAAAGCTCCTGTGTTGCGTTCAACTCCCGATCCTACTGGTCCCCTTGCTAGACATTTGTGTGAAATCTGCGGTTTGAATTGGCTACCTATGCCTGAATCGACGTTTAGAACTAATATTTTTGCTACATTTTAAGTAATTGCATTGCACGTTTTGGATATGTGGTGTTTTTTTTGTTAGAAAGGGGTGTTGCGGCCGCATCCGTTTGGTTCTTGAGTGATTTTGGTGTGCATGCCTTGACGCGTGAAGTTTTCTCTCTGGCTCACCTTATTCCCACTCTGCCTATCTTGATTCAGGCCCACAATGGTTCTCAGACGCCTTCATCGCGATACAGCAGTCGCCACTCGTCAATCGAGCCATCTTACGCCACAAGTACGTACAGCAATGACCCACGAGAGTTAAAACGCCTGCTCATGCAGTTGGAGGAGAAGTACAGGGAGGTTCTGGTGATTAATGCTCAGCTGGACTGTGAAAAACAATTTCTTACGTAAGTTATGGCGGATCCTGTAATTTCTGGCAACATATTTTAGACCATTAACGAATATGTATTCAGCTTTTTGAACACTTTTTTTCCAATGGGACATCGGTGTTCATGCATGTCTGAAGGATGTTAAATTGGTCCAAATGTGCATTATTGACTTGAAGCCATACTGTTGTTTGAATGTAACGTGTGTCTTTCATTGGTAGGTAAAGAACTACGTCTTAGCTTATAATTATTATTACATAGTCACGTGACTCGGCTCACTTTTGTATTGGTTTGTGCATTGCTGAATCAATCCTAGTTTTTTGAAAAGGTGCTTTTTGGCACAAACACATGCCTGATAACTAAACGACCAACAACCCCCTAATACGTAACATGCAATACGCGCACTTTTAACATGTAGCTTTGATAATTTGCTTAAACTGCCGCCCTACTACCCCAGAAACTGCAATGCGTGGTCAGCATAATCAGAGGTATTAGATGAAGAGAAATTCTGATTCCTTTCAACTTAGATTTCTGCTTTAGATTACACTGCACTATCCGACCAAATTTTTGCAAACAGAAGTAGAGGTTTGTATGAAATACATGCATAGTCGAAGAAACAAAATGAAGAACCGATGTATTTTGGCAAACTTATGCTATTCCCACATTTGTTTTGTCTCCGCAACAATTGTACTTCAGTATGTTGTAAAATGATTCAGGCAGCTGCTTAGGAAATATCCCGACCTGTTTTCACTTATTGCAAATGAAATGTGTAAATATGTCTTAATAGTCCTTCCTACTTTTGCCTGGTAAGTTGTCTTAAAGTTGTATTTTACATACAAGCCTTAATGCGTGACAAATGAGTAGCATTCGCAAATTGAAAATTTACAATGCCGAAAACACTTTCAGGCAGCCTGGAGCTACCACATAGTTAATTGCTGCCGCTATAGTTGCGCAAACATAGTGAATAGTTGTGCTGCGCTGTCAAAATTGTCATTCCACAACCCAAGCAGAGGTGACTTGTCAGATCAAATGGCTCCATAAAGCCATAAAAGTCTCGCAATGTTCACATGTACATCCCGATATCCTGCTTTCTTTGACTTTATCCTGCCGATATGCTACAGTGCGATCAGAAAATTTTTAGAGTACGTGCTAACTTTTCAAACGCTTGTCAATTCGTGGCAATAAATTTTTGTTGACAACTGAGGCCTACTTAAACCTTGTTTTGTATGGATGTCATACTTGTGTCCGTAAACTAATATGCATCTTCGTTGTTGATTAGGAAAATGGGCTTGTGCTGTGGCTTGTTCAATTTGATGTCTGGTGGCATTTGCTCTTCCCCTTCCACATCTCTTCCATCGCGTCGACAGTTGCGCTTTTTCAAAGATTCACTTTGATATTTAAGAAAATCGAGAGGTGCAATTTTACCAGCCTTAAGTCGTAAATCAAAGCATTAATTTCTACAGTTTTACACATACACACAGACACAATAGCGCACAGAGGAAATCACCGACATTTTCACAACTACGGGAAGTTTTGTACTTCCAAATAATAAGTTTATATTTCTAATGATTATTATCGTTTGACTGAAATAGATTTTTGGGAGTGAGATAGCGTTTTGTAGTTTCGCGTACACTCAGCGCTACGTCTGATTGTTGTTATTCTACCTGCCTTGTCCATTGCTTCAGCCGAATTCGGAATGCGCAGCATAGGCACGAAATTTACCTTATTGTAACAGTTGTTTCATTCAACTTTCCGCTCTATCGACTTATTTCCTATCCTGGCAAAGGTTTTTCAGAGACACCTTAACTTTAGGTTATGTCATTGAATCGCTTCACTCGTGTTCGTGGGCTCCCAAAGTCACGTAATTCAGGGCCCGATATATCATGTATTCCAACAGTACTTCCAGTTAAGGAGGATGCTTGACTGTTCAAGCCTTCATCGAGAGTTCTAGTAAGCACTGATGAGGACTGTGGTCTCGTGTGGGCTCTTCATAGCAAATAAATTTTCCGATTGCGCTTTCTGTATTTTAAGACTCCTTTTGTTCCTGCATCCTTCTTCATCCTCCGTAATTCCTCTTGTTAAATTACCGTGAACCCGGAGAGTGGGGCCTGCCTCTGTCGAGCACAAGTGCTCTCGTTTTTGTACAATCTCAGAGGCAACCCCTTAGGATCTTAAACGCATCTACGCTTTGGGAACACTCGTCTTTTGTGGTTAGTTCGGAAGGTGGTTTCAGCATTCACGTAAACCTGCATGACTGTATTTGAAGTGATGTGTGTGGACAACTTTTTTTACTGTCTCGCACTTATAAATATCCATGTTCTTATGAACCAATATCTTTTTTTCTCATAGAATAGAATGTAAATAAATTCTCTCGCCACTGTGCCGCTTTTCGACTTTTTTTAAGGAAGAAGGGAACCTTGCCCCTCTATTTACACCGCTCAGTGCTGCACCATGTTTCATTGCTAAAACTTGAAAGACGTTACTGCCGTTTATTTAGTGTTTTGTGTAATTTAAGTTGATCCGCATCTTTGGGCTGAAGTCTGTTTCAAATGGGTTTAAAGTCAAGTAGAAGCCTACAATATGGGCGATAATAAAGTGTGGATGTTCCCTTCAACACACTGTCCCCTTCTATAAACCCGGACTCTACAATTCCCAAAATATTTTCTACAGCACTTGTATATGAAATTGTTACTGCGGTCTGTGAAAACGGCGTCCTTGGTGCTTGTGATTTTTCAAGTAGTTTAGTCAGCTGCTCCTTCTGTAATTTGATTTGTTGAAAGGGGCATTATCTTAGAACGCACCTACAGTTGCATTGCAGCTGTGATCATTAGTCGTGTGGTAAATTAACTTCACATTGTCAAAATATGTGGCAATGTCAATGGCAGAAGTGAAACGCCCTAATTAGTGGTCATCCAAGCCATGGAAATCTATAAATGGCATTCTAGCGTGTTTGGAATTTAAAAGACAATGTTTGTGCGAAAGTCGAGGCCACGCGAAGGCTCTAGTTTTCGTGCACACGCGACCATTGCCTGCGCACAATTTGTGGCAATGTGTTGATTTTTGCCAACTAGGCTCTCTTACTGCCCATAATATCAGTGAATTTTGGGCAATGTGCTCTCAAGTTGTCAGGTAGCCGTTTTTGAGGCTCACACCGAAATTAGCCCATACTCTCCTTGTTTCCTTGTTCAATGCACTTTTCGAGGTTAGTAATTTTGCTTGTAAACCGGTTTCATCACGCACCTTAGTGATGTCCGTGTGAATTGAATTACACCTCTTAGTTTGCATAAACTAGATTGTGCACAGAGAAGTGAGGAAAATTGGGACCAATTCGTCACAGCCTGTCTTGTTTTTGAATTTGCCCAGTTCGTTATGTCATATTGGTCACAAAAGGTCATTTCCGCTGGAATGGTTGCTGTGTTAAAATCGTAATCATGTCCTGTAAAATTTCGCAGCTTAAGTTATGTAAAATGCCTTTTTACTACGTGTCGAAATTAGGGTGTTTGTGGGAACTTAAACGCTAAAGCAAATGTGAAACGACCACTCAGCAAGTTAACTCCCGACTTGTGTACTAAGTTTACACTGAAATGTACGATTCCAGTATTTTTGCATCTACCTATCCGTCGAGCCAAAGTGTTGTCTACAGCTGTCATCTAACTTCTGTTGTATGCAGCCATTCGTCTGCTCCATTAATCCTTTTATTTTTATTTTATGACCTTTGACTAGTAGTTTGTAGTGACTGTCTTCTAATCACTAGCGGGTGGATTTATTTGAATGACATGTTTTTACATGTATCCATACTTATTATTAGCCTAATTCTCTGTGTTGGTGTCTGTAGTATTTCTTATTACTGTGGTGATTCTGGACTGTGCTTTCTCTACTCCAGCGAATTTGAGTTAAGTTCGAGTGGTTGTTAAGGCGAAGTCACCGCCATTGGTGCTTTTTCGTAAGGATGTGACCTTCTTCATCCTTACGCACTCGAAGCACATATACATCGTTCATCTGTGGATGTCGAAGCGATAAGGATCTGTGGACCGATTTTTTTCCTGTTGGGAGAATACTTAATATCCCAACACCCCACGTATTTAGTTTTGTCCTATTCCTTTGTACTTCACCAACTGCAACATACTGCTAAACGGATTTTGGGTTTTGTAATTTTTATGAAGGCTCAATTGCAAAGGGACTTTAGGTCATCCTAAAGCATTTCGTACTCATTCAAGGAGGATTGAACACGCAATGGTGTGTGACATTCATGTAATTCGCGTAGTCTCTTGTCCTCTCAAATGCCTACACAGGGATCAAGATGGCCACAAATTGCCAGTTTGTGTTAGATTTAATTGTTCGTGGTTCGCGTTGCGTCTTGAGCACTCGATATCTATCAGATTACTTATGAAAGCACTTATTTGTAATTTCTTGTGTGAGCAAGACGGGGGCTAATCCATCAAGCTTCAGTGGATGTCTGCAGTACGCGAAAACCCATCATGACCTGGAAGTCAAGCTTCCATCGATACCGTTTTTAATGTGACCTTACACTGAACTTCCTGATCTCTCGAGGTCTCTGGTCCATTTGTAAATGGCCGTTTTCCCTCCCTATGATCCAGAATGTATTTTCACTAATGCATGCATGGGACTAAGCAATGTTGGTGCTTAACCTCCTGTGTTCTTGACTTAATGATATAATCAAGAATCCCGCAGCTAATGAAATTCATAAAATTTATCGCTAATTTTGCTGAATAGATATCTCAGTTCATGACGATATGATCTTTTTAGTGGTGGGTAACCTCGTCTCCAGGATTTGGCCCACAAAACGTATCAGTTTTAACTGACCTAGTTTCATCAGGGGTTTTATCTACTTTTGCCCAATTTTTGGCGGTGTCCGAGACTGCCCTTGCAAACTAAGTACGTTAGGATGATCGCACCATTTCGAACTTGCCAGATCTGTAGTTTCCCGTATTGATGTAACGGAAGATGTTGCGATTACGTCAAACTATCTCGGGATTTTGTCCCACTGAATCGCCTAGGAATATTAGAGGATTAGGTCATGTCTGCGTCATAGATATTTTCAAGGCCAGAAGGGAATAACATGCAAATACTGCATGTCTCACGTAATTCAGGTCTAATTTAAAGACATAGCATGGCTTTTGGGGCTGGAGTGAATCACATGTTTTGAATGATTGTGCAAATATATAGTATTTAAAGATTTTGTTGCCGAGAGAATTTAACTGTGTTAAAATTAGTAACCCATGAAAATGCATTAATTTCTAAATTCCGACATCTTTGCTGTAAATTGAAAAAAGTTTGAATTTTATTTTGACAGACCCACCATTTGCCATCAATTTGCGGTGGTTACTCCCAAGAGTATTTATCGTTTTACAGTAATTGAACATCAAAAAATGAATTTTATCTATTTTTTTATCACCAAAATTTACTTTGACCCATTTCAATTTTTTCTCAAGTGTCGTTCTATTTTTGCATCTACTCCAAAACGTGTAGATCTGCGTCGTTTTTGCCTATATATTACTGCAAAACAATTCTGTGCCACTTTTAGCCCGTCCCATAATCTAGTTCTATTTTTTACTAATGAGAATTTGGTTAGAGTTGTAAAGATTTTATGAATTTAACGGCCAGTAACCCCAGGCAAGCGGATGTACTCCTGTTAGTCGTCGGTACTGACACGAGACCGGTTAAAGTGAACAGGTGCAAGAGCTGTTTCGCCCTATAGCTGACTGTGCTGCAACGCAAGTGATCGGTTCGGCTCGAGAAGGTGAACAGAATGTATCTAAATGTGTTCTTCCGAATATGCTTGTCAGGCACCTCTAGAAAATAACTTTGTCTCTAAATTATACACGAGAGAGAACACTGAAACGCTTTAGTTGCAACTAAAATTTGCTCTCGCGGTTTGAAAACTTCCGTAGCGCCTCTTCACGGGTATGCTATTAAGTGTCTATGGCCGACCCCTCTTGGATGAAAACTACTCGATATGATAATGCGGCTGTTCTAAAGTCCTTTACAATTTCATCGAAAATGTTCGCAATCCCCTAAACATTGATTCAGACCTAACTCGTAAATGGGGTTGTTTTTTTGCCAAATGTTCAAAGTTAGCAGTGGGCAAATCGATCTGTAATATTACGAGGCTTCCTGTGTATTGGATATGGAGGTAATGTTCTATTTATGTAGTTTTATAGCGATCTACACATCCTCCTGAAGTGTTTGCTTTCAGGCCCAAATGCAACTACGCTGATGACTGGCCGAATTTATGTGCTCAGAATTTTCCTGGTCCACAATGTCGCCTGTCGAGCTTGTCAAGGTTTTTTACGTTTTTGCACTTCTTAACTATTTTATTCTACATGACTTATAGTTATTCCGTGGACTTGCTGAAGGATAAATTAGAGGACGTCACCGAATCAAATCAGTACAACCAAAAATGTGTTGCGGACAAGAAGAAGGTAAGTTTTATAATTCAACTGAGTGAGTTGTCACAGGCAACTGAAGTGCTTTGACTAGCAAACCAAACTTGATGTCATATGTAACACCTTCGATTTTGCCGCTTCATACAACTTTAAGGCTTTTGAGCCCTCAATGGCAAAAACGCCACCAGGTCGTAATTTTACTTAATCCAATTTTCTTAATTAAGCTGTCACTTTGAATTACATACCGTTTCGAATGTTATGAGTGCAAAACCTCCTAGCTTGTCTTATCTTCCTTAACGGACTCCCACAGCGAGCTCAACTTTCAGTGAATAAATTAATATGGCATAGTTGTTTTTTATACCAGTGGTCTCCTAACTGGTTGTGCTTGTTGGCATAAGCCGAGGAAAATCACAATAAAGCAGGCCTTTTTCATTACCTCAAATACGGACCCCGTGGGAATCTCTTTTTTTTTTAAATTTTATTCGCGTGGGATTAAGTGAATTCGGGTCAACCTGCTTGCCACGTCACAGCCTTTTCATCCGGTGCCTATTTACCTACTTGTCCATTGCTACACAGTCACTGCCAGAGTTCCACTCAGATAGCTACCACAATTTTAAATTTGCCAGTATAGGGAATGTAAAAGGTTGCGAACAAGTTGATTTTTGATCCTATTTTAGGAGCTGGCGTATCAGCGGATGCAAGTGTTGGAACTGAACCATCAGCTGGAGGTGGCCCAACATCAGATAGCAATTCGTGATGAGCTGATCACGGAGCGTGGTCTTGTGCTTGTGAACGCTGACGGCAGCCAGAGTGTCGGCGTGGCCAACGGTGATACCAGCCGTCCTCTCCTCAACGGCACAAATAACACAACAGATCACCTTGGAAACGTCACCGATGCTGTTCAGCCATCGACTTCCGCGACAACTTCCTCCTACGCCATCCTCTCCAAGTCTAATGCGGAAGCCCTAAAATTGATTAGCGGATCTGATATCGGTGGGTTTCCTTTTGCCTACTAGTCACTTTATGCTTTCTGCCGTACAACCAACCCAGCCTCCTTATTTCTCTGGCTAATTTTGTTTCAGCGAATTTCACTCAAATTTTTTTCGTGATAGGCTGCATTTATTGCTCCGACTAGTGTTACTGTTTGTTTCCCTACTGCAACATTTCCACTTCTATTGCTTTTCTTCGCACATGAGTTGCTCTTTAACTTGATCTTTGCTGAGTATTGTCCTAGTGATAGTTAAAATAATAATTGAGGCTGAAGAGGCAAGTTAGTGTAAACAAAAATACGTTACACTTTTTTAAGTAAAATAAAAAAGTTCTGACTTAAAATTTTATGTAGTTTGTTTCATGTTCTTCACATACAAAATGGTTAAATCACGAATAACTAAGCGCTTTTACATTTCCTTTGGGCAAATTCTTCTTATTAACATTCTTTAACACCCAAAAATTTATTATAATCTCTATCTGATCTTACTTATTGTCACATACACACATCGGATTAATACCTGTTTTTGCAATTTATTTCGTTTTAAATTTTTGAAGCCTGGCATATTTCGTTTTGAAGTCATCGGATTATGTCGTATCTGGTGGCATAACCTTGTGTTACCTTGTTACCTTGTGTATTTTTTTTCCTTAAGTCGCGCAGTCACCATTTTATGCACACGCTACTGATTTTCACAAATATTTAATTTTACTTGCATTCGTTTAACAAATACCTTCTTTACTCTTGTAACTGGCATAGCATGGTATCACTCCAGTTAATCATACTTGTGGCCCATGTTCCACTTATCAGTAAAGCAGACCATTTTAAGGCAAGGCTTCTATTTTCCAGAATTTCCTTGGTTGCTGATACTATTACTTCGAGTGATTCACCATAATTGGTGAAAATTACCAATGATCACACCTTTGTCATTAAATAACACTTTTTCGTGCGGTCAGATAATGATATCTTGCCTAGCGTCATTTTCAAGCCCCTTGATCATGTCGATACCCACGACTAGCCACAATCAGCTAGTTCCTTGCGGCAGCCTTACACACTCCATTTAACCTACTAGGAACAAGTCTTTTAACTCAACTCAAAAATCCAATTGCTTAATGTTATGCAATGATTTTGTCGTAGCTTCGGCGGATTCTCCGGCATCAAACGATTGTTTTAGGATGCAAATATAAATTGACAAAACAAATCTCGTTTTGTGGAGATTTCAGCTACATATTTTTAAATCGGTCCTCTCGTGGAAATTTTTTTCACTCGCATCCTGTGGGGCCTTTTTCTTAACCTCTTGGTATTTCCTCGTGAATGTACTTCGTTTGTGAAGCCTTCTTATGTTTTTTGTTGCACCTTTAGACTCAAAGCTGGCGACCTTGCTGGAGGAGAGGGCCAAGGACAAGGAGCGGATCGAGGTGCTGAAGTCGCACCTCGCCGAGGAGCGCGAACGGGTGGAACTCGTGCAAAAGCTGGACACTCGCGCCAAAGGCGGCGATCCAGAAAACTTGCGTCATGCTGTGCAAAGTAAGTCCATCGTTTTTGCGTCTAGATGGTTGTTTCCGCGTGAAGACGACCTGTTTCTTTTTTATCGCTCTTTCCTAATTTTTTATAAGAGCGGAAATTGGTTCTTACACACATACCTGTCGACAATATCTATAAGTGTACAGAAACTCATAAAAGACTGTTTTATAACACTTGAAGGCCCTCACAATTTCTGTCTTTGCATCGTATATTGCAGTTTAAGTGTATTTTAAGACCTTTATTCCTAACAATTTACGCACCATTGACGTAGTTTCCATTTACGTGCTAGCTTGAGTCATGCCGTTCAAAAACTAGCCGTAGACATCAAAACCCATGGCTTGCCTAGGCATGAAGACATTTACACCGGGCCCAATAGTCCGACAGAACTCGGCGTAACAGCAAACAATATTATTTGGCTTTTAATATATATTGCTGCATTTTATTTTAAATTATCTCCTTTTTGAGAAATCTTGCTCAACTAGTATTGACCCTTATGGAATGCGGAATTGACGAAGTGTTTACTTCAAGGGTTTATGCTTCCCAACCGATGCTATTGCTCTAAACAAATGACGCAAATCACTTTGCACAGGTTTGGTTCCATGCCATTCTCTTCGCCGCTGTCATTTTTTGCCTTCTTTTGGTCATTGCCGTTTACGTTACTTAAACTTGATTCCGGTTTTATAGATTGTAAGGATTGGTTGGGGCAGCGTTGCGGTAGGAGTTTGCGTGTGTATGAATCCATATGCCACTTGGATTCTACTTTGTATGGCACCGCTTATCAATTGGGGACAATCCATTTTCGGTTTCTGAAAATGGAGGGCAACGAGTGTGATTATGTGTGGTTATCTTTAAAATGCTGCTGCCTACCAATGCTAAAATTGATTTTGTGCAGAAACGTAGTTTCGTTTTTGTGGTATGAAATAAAACTACGTTTTCATGCGCAAGGATGTAACATTAACCAAACTCATATTTTCCACTTTGTCCTAAGACCTTTGCTTTCTTTGTGGCGAATTGGTGTTTGCGCGCCCACACAGTTTCTGTCTTCTATGAGGTCACCACCACTAGTGTCATTTGTACCTTTCATAGTTTTGCAAACTTCGAAACAAGTGATCATTTGACGGTACTAAGCCACGGTTTTGTGGGGGATGTGACCACGCTTCTTAACCAAGCTACAGTGGTCTTCCACGAGTTGACCAGAGCTTTGATCACGCATTAGTCTAGAACAGGATCTTTAAGCCAATACTGACGCGTGGTTTTTGGTATTATATTATTATGCATCTCTTTTACCTCCCTGATTATAAAAAAAGGTACAATATGTCGAAAATGTTAGTCCCGCACTATACGTTAAACTCGATCCGAATCTAACAGTTACAAAAACATTAGCCCTCCCTTAGCTTTATAAATTTAGCAAAAAAATGCATCTGTCATTTGTGAAAAGGAAAGTGCCACAGCACTACGGATGCCCTTAAAAACTAGCATAATGCTATTAACGAGAACCTAAAGTGCTTCCTTGCTAGCCTATTACTTTCCTCATCTTCATTGGCTGTTTTTGGTTTCTCACGACGAATAGTGTGCTATGCAGTTTGACCTGTCAGTTGTGTTTACAACAGGCATTCGACGGGTCGTGTGTGTGTGTGCATGCACACCATGCGCGTTTGTCTTTGTTGTCTGGCTGCTTCGCGTGATTTCTATCATAGCGGTAGTTACTGGGTTTTTGGGGGATATTTTGACACAGCCATTCTAGGTTTTGGCACATTCACTCCGCGATTTATTTCCGCAAACGATATTTCTTCTATCAAGCTGTCAAATCTTTGGATGAACGAGTGTGTTTGCTACTCTTAACCTGGTCACAATCGCTTCCCCTCTGTTATCTTCTTTGCTCATGAGGATGAACTGTTTTCGCAGTCCGTTGACTCATCGCCTGAGTACCACGCAACTTCCACTACTTTTATTGCCCACCCGACTTACAGCCCACCACTTTGTTATCGAGATTGCTACTAGTATCCGATTTGTTAATACACAAGCGTTGTCTCAGTTTAGTCAAAACATTGCTACCACCTGTACTGAATCCAGGCATATCTCTTTTAAATGTTCATAAAATCGGTTGCTATTAATGTAATCTGGTGCATTTCAGGTGTCCTTGTGTAGCGTGTGGTCAGTGAGTCGTCTGAGGTTTCGAGATAGACAACCACACTGTTTGACTTTACGGCTGAGAGGTATTTGCGTTCTGCCAAAAAATTACTCTTGACAATTTTGACACCTGAAAGCACCAACGAGCACCGTACTTGTCCTGTCTGAATTAAGCTGTTTATCTTTTTTCTTAGCTGCTCGCTCTCAAGCTCAAGATTACAAATTTAGATTGGAACAAGCCAACCAGAAAATCACTGGTCTAGAGGGTGATGTAAGTTTTACTTATCTGTTGTTATTTCATTCGAAAACTTCCAAGGGTCATTATTAAAGGGCCTTCACTGCTCACTGCTTTCATCCTCTTTATTGTGATGGCAACGATTCGAATAGACTTGTCTAGGTATCTATCAGTCACCTATTATCTCTGTGACCAGTCTAATTTAATTTGTTACTTAGAAAAGAACGATCTTATACATCACGTTCGTGAAGCCGAATTCTCTTTTCGTTGTTTTGTGTTCCTCAGTTAAATAAATATTAACATTCTCAGTTACAAATTGTTCCCACCAATCGCAGTTTTTCAGGTTGTCTGTCAAAAGTCGTATTTTTCATTCTCCATGACAACTTTTGTGAGGCTGACCCATTTTTTCACTTGAGCACTTAAGAAAAACGACTTCCCTAAGTGTTAATTTTTTTGCTATCCGGCATTTCCAACTATTGCAGATCAGACTTTATCACGAAAAGGTGAATGTTCAACTGCGACTTTAGTTTTGACCAGACCTCATTTTATTTCTAAGCATGTGACAGGAGCATGGCCCATATAGCATGTTACATTTGTTTTAATGAGTACTACAACTAACATTACACTAGCCCTTAATTATTTGATGTACATGTTTTCGGAACAACGAAATTCAACAATTCCCCAGTTTGGTTTGAGTTCGGGTAAACTAAATCAATAATGAATAGCATGTCTAGAAACTTTCATACCCTACCAAAGTCCACATTAACTCAACTGGCCATTATAGATTATCCGGTTAGAAGGACAGGTAAAGCGGTTCAAGACAATCGCCGAAAACGCTGAGGCACAAGAAGATCAACTGAAACAGGAACGGAGGAAAATTCATCGTGAGGTAAAGTGTTCCTTAAACATACATTGAAAATTGGTGTATACAAAGATTACACGGCTATTGGCTTTCCTGTAGCTTCGAGAGGCTCTTTCCACAATTGATGATCTTAAGTCTGAGAACACAACACTACAGCGGAAAATCGATAAGCTGTCTAGGGGGATGCCAGGCGCAGCAAGTGGCTCTAGCCTTCGCTCCTACCGAGGTTCCTCTCAAGCCCGGTAGGATTGGCAGCTGCATCGCGACGTCAAAGCCCTGATCTTTTCCCCTGCCCCCCTCACGTCCTCAGCTCCAGACGCATTTTAGCTTAGTAGCCACTCTATCGACGCAAACTATGCAGTCTTTCATTCGTGACCCTTCTTGTAAATATTATGGAACCTGCTCCAAAGCTCCTGTCAGTCTCCTATTGTAACCACCTCTTTCTGTCACCCCATTTACATCAACGCTGGGTCGCAAAATGCGACCCAAAAACCTTGTTCATTTATAAGAAAGGGACCACCAATATCATTAAAGCTTCCGGGCATAAGCCCATGTCGCAGGCCCTTTTTAAAAATGAGCCGCTAACTGCCGAAATTAGACTAATCAAGGCCGACCTAAGTCTGCTGAGCTAGACAAGAAAGAGCGTAGTGGCAACCTCGTCGGTTGTGAATTAACATTGTATTAAGGAAGCTCAAATCCTAGAATTCCTAGTCAAGTGTGGTAAAGGCCTGGACGGGGAACTCGCAATCGGCATAATGCACTTATCTCAGGTGGATGGGGATATTATAGGCAAGGAGAATATTTGATAAAGTTTTGAACACCCGAGTCGATGGAAGTCTAGGGCGATATTTTAACTGCAACACCCAATAGTGAAATCACCAGTCGGGAGGCCCTACATCGCAACGGTTTGTAATAGCTTTACAAGTAACGTAATCTGACTAGCTGTAGTCATATATTCCTAAGTAACGGTGGGCTAGGTGTACAAGCATCTAGTGAGCCGGGACTCCGAGCTCACCGAAAGGAACAAATAAACGTGCAATGTGGTGCCAGAACAAGCAAAAGCAGATACATCAAATAGGATCCTTCAATAGGTTACTATATTGGTTAAAGAGCCTTGGCACTAGATGTAGGTGTATTTCACGTAGGAGTAATAGGGTACTACAAATAAAAAGCAAGGGTAGGCTTCACTCCAAGCCTGCCTCTTTCAGTAGTTGATTCATAGACCGCTCGGCCTGAAACTGCATCCATAAGTCGTGATCGGCCTTTCTTTTAGCCATGATGGCGAGGTTCCTTTCCTGTATACGGACTTCACGCACCTGCAAATACTTCAGCCGCAAAGCACCATACAGCATACCGACCACAAGGAGGCCCCATCGAGCTGTACGAATAAACGGTGAGATAGCTTTTGGTGCGGGGAGAGTAATTTTGTGAACGGACTCAATGACCATTCTTTAGCTAAAACGGCGTAAAGGGTTAAGAATAATCAACATACGTAAATGCAATTAAGAGCATGTAAAAATACAATACTCCATTGCCTTGACAGGCATAGCAGATCTATCTAAGCAAACGAGAGACACCTTGCATTGGCGGAAAAAATAGTAAGGACCGTTGATCTACTAAAGTGCACAAACACCGGGCAAGCAGCAAAAGCGCATTTAAACTGAGAATAAACTAAGAAAAATATTATAACCATCTAACTATGCAGTCGAACTTTATTGTTTACGGCCAACTGAAGTTCTGGAATAAATTAAACAAACTCAAGGTTCATTTCACTGATTCCTCTGACCAAAAAGTATGCAGCACTAGAATTAACAATGCGAGAAGATACTCCATCGTAATGACCACATACAATAGCCAGAAATAACCCCTTCAGATAACAAAACTTTAATGTTAACTACATGGTGTCAAAAGGTAGAACTCAATGCTAAATTTGACAGCAAAGCTCAAAAAGTATAATAGTATCCTGAAATAGGCAACATTTCAACTTGATGTAAAATCTTGAAATGAAAAGAGTGCCCCTAAAAGCAGCAAAACAAGCCAAAGAATGCTACAAGACCGACCAGCAAGGTGAGTGAACAAACGGGTCAGTAGATGCAGGAATACGGTAGGTTTATTTTAAAATGTTAATTTCTTTTAAAAACGTTTTCTAATAAAAGTACATAAAAGAAAAAAGTCCACAACAAAAACAAAAGTGTTACTATCCTGTACGACGGTTCAATTTGGTTAGGTGCAAGTTATGAAATAATCCTATTTTGATATTTGTCGAAATGGTTCTTTAAAGAATGACTAAGTGTTCAAATCCGCCATCACTTTTGCGTCTAATGTTTGCTTAGTAATCTATAGTTTTTTTTGCCAAATGTACTATCATTGTAAGAGATTATTATATCAGTAACGCAGAAAGTAGAACAACGCACGGTTAAGTAGGTCATATATTTAAGGACATTTCATGTAACATAATGTAGATCTATATTTTAAACTTTTCTACTAATTGATGCGATATAAGTTGCAATACAAAGAACAGTGGCTGTCTTTTAAAAAATACAACTAATAATTAATTTATTTAACATTTAGACAAACCGTAGAGGATCATGATCATTGCGACGTTTTTTATTATGTTGAATAGCTTTTCTGGGCTACAACTTCATATAGTTAAGTGGTTTAATTTCATCGCAGCCAGAAATAACATTCATAACTGCAAAATTTCTGTATTCTTAACATGCATTAACCTTTAGCCTCATAGGTATACGGAATCCTGTGTCATTTTACAGGTATACATATGATCTGTGCATCATTTCCAGAAAAATTCGCCACATCCATGATCTTAAATTGTCTTATTTTCATTGTTACAAAGTTTCGCTTAGTATTCTTCATTAATCTTTTAATGACGTACTTTTAACCAAGGTTTTAAAAGTCAAAGCACATTTTACTTGTTAAATTTTTGTGGTAATTCTTGACACTCAAGTTATGTATTAGCCTTAAAAATTTAAATTAAGTGTCTTTTAGCACAATATTTGGGATACTCTAGGGTGTAGTTTTTTTCTCAAAAGTACATTCTTGGCTGAAAAACAGCATATCGGAAATGCAGCTACGGGATTGTAGTGCAGTCCAATCCATCCAACATCGCACTACAGTTTGTAAATTGTCCATCAAAATGCAATTCAATTTTGTAGGTGTATAACGGCAGTTCTTTTATATAAAGAAAATTTTGTGTGATCATTTTTTTCCGAAAATTAATTCGGTAAACAAATCTTAATCCAAAAAAATTATTGTGAAAAAAACTTAGTTGGCATTTAAAGCTACTAGTAAACTTACGTTTTTAAATTCTTAATGATTTATTACAAAAAAAATCCATGAGCTCTCCTCTTTTCCAATTCTAGCCTTTTTTAACATCATTATTGGGGGTTATTTAAAAGCACTCTTTTTATCCCATTGGTTTGATTTATTTGGTTCTTGGAACGTATTGACGCCTTTCGTTTTGTTAATTTTGAGTTTTTCAAGACCTTATTTATGGTATTTTAAAAAGAAATTGTCCGAAACCATTTTTTAGTGGTGATCTTTATATAAATGTTAAGTACACCGAGAAATCGAGCTCGTTCTACTGTGTTTCGTACTAAACATATCTTAATTACGTGTTCTCCTTGTCAATAATAATTTTTGATTCGTTTTTAATGCCTTTATTATATCCAATCTGGTTTCTCATATTGGGTATTGGTAGTATGGAAGATAATTTATTAAATCTACTCCAAACTAACATTGTTTATGTACCCCCTTTTTCAGAATTTGTTCACAAATTGTTCTCAACAAATCTTGTACACATTGTTTATATTATTAATTTAACTATCCCATGACGGTACACAAGCCACTTTTTTGCTTCATATTCCCTGATTTCTTATTTACTTCTCTTTTAGCTTTTGTCTCTTGCTTAACTATGGATCGACTGGACCCATTTTACGTAGTACGTGACGAAGTTATTAAATCACTGACACAAGCCCAAGTGGAGTATGAAGCATGGAAGCATGAGGTTGTTGCGAAATCGGTTAATATCAAACCCGCCGAGATGGCTTTGAGAGAAACTATCAAGAATATCGACTGGGATCTTGAGGATCTCCAGGTACGTTCTCTCTAACTTTAAACCCAAATCCATAAATTTCTGATCCCGAGTATATCGGCGACGTGACAAAATTATTTCCTCGCAAGTATATTGGTAGTGAATGCTCCAAGCCACATTCCTGGTGGTTGTACGTACCATTGGTTTAGATACATCCTTAACATATTTCACACGACGAGTATATGTACCCGTCTGTATTGGTTTATTTCTGCTCGATTCGATTACAGCACCTGAGATTTTGATGCTTGGTTATAGGATAAATCCCCTCTACTCGTGTTTCTTAGCCACCTTGTCTTGTTAACATTTTTGTAGTACTGAATTTATTTTGCTTTGTAATTTGATATGTTACAATCACTTTAAACGGTCTGATGAAATTTTACGCTTTTTTGCAATAACTCAATCCGATGTTTTCTATATATGTCGGTTCACAGGTCGGTTATAGAAAAATGATGTTAGCTTACAGAATTTAACAAATCCAATGACTAATTGGATAACGTTTCCTCTATCAAGTTTATTTAACAAGGATGATTATGAATTTTTTCATATGCTTTAGCCTCTACTTGTTAAAAGACTTGGATGCATTTCCTTAACTCATTGGAGTTAATTCGCAATGCTGAATCTGCACTGCCGCTTACACAATTCCCTCAGGTCATCACCGGTGCTTAGTCTAACTAGTCTGTTGTAAACATAATTTTAGGAAACTGTTCTTATTGTGGAGAAAAACCCAACCAAGTTCTACATAAGTGGTGAAGAATTGCGGTCGCGTCAACGCTTCTTACAAGAGGTGAAATCGGTCGTAAAAGATGTAAAGGATCAGCTTTACGATCCAAGTGGTCTGATTTCTGGTAATCACAAACGCATCAACTTCGACGTGCCAAACACGGTTAAAGTATCTCCCACTCGCGTTAGTGGAATGAATGGCAAAAGTTCACTAGCTCTGCCGTAAGTTACATTGCTTTTATTCACCCCAATGTCTAATGGAGATTTCATTTTCGGAAATAATTTGGTCTTTCGATGTACTAACGTGTAATCTTCGATTAAAGATGACGCGTCGTGACAACAGAACAAGCGAAATGTGATTTGGGTAACTGAATCATCTAATAATTATTTCGATTCCTTTTTTAAACGAAGCATGTCGTTTTTTGCATTTGAATTTACACAGATTTGGTCACCTTTCCTGCACAACTCCCAATTTTGATTTCATACAACCTTGCCATTGATTTTTACTTTACCTTCGTGTATATAACACACAGCCAGCAGCCTTTGCATTGGAGTCCATTTACTACAATTCAAACAAGCTCATGTAGCGTAGATATTTGCACACTGCGCATGTTTTCTCAGACGATCTTTACAAATTTCACCGTTTTCACCCACGTCTTACTTTGTAGCTTCTTACGTACACCGCCTGACCGCATAATCGACATATGAGCTCGATTGTTTTACTTCTTCCGGCTTTACTTCCCTCTGCCGTGCGTACCTTTTGGCATTTCGAACGTTTTCAAATTGTGACTTGTCGAAGCAACGGTTACTGTCATTGTGCTTTAGGTCCGTCCACTACTGGTATTTATTTAATTTCAGTAGCTGTAATGTGCTGTTTTTCGAAGCAGCGCCGTCAACGGTTTCACGTAAATGTCGTTTAGCCTGTGGCGTCAATCTTTCGGTATCGAGAAACATCGCTGTCATCAAACGCCTGAACAGAAATGGACGAATCAAAGAAGTTAGCTGAAGCCATTCAAACTTACTTGTGCAGTATAAAAGTTTTAAAATTCGGTTGATAGTTCATCGCTATATTTGGTCAGGATTGGAACGAGGTTTTAATTTCCCTTGGAAATTCATGCGTCATTTCTTGAATTATAAGTGACTATCTTCTGTCACAAAATAATTTTAAACTACACTTTTGACTAAGCCTTGATTGCCTTCCTCAGGCAAACGCAGGTCAAAACACAAACCTTATAACAACATAAGAACGTTTCGTGCATGTTGCCCTAAACAGTAAATAGCAATTCGAGTAGTGTGTATAACAACAAATAAGGATAAAAAACGTAATGGTTTGGTAACAAGTGGAGTTTGCATAATTTGGCAAAAAAATCTCAAATGGTTACCTGCGGGTGAATCGAAATGGTATGACAACCAGGACAAATATGAATCACGCCATAAATATTACAATATCAACCACAAGTGTATTACTTTTCTGAACACTCCACTGTTAAAAAACCGAACTCTTAAGCTTGGAAAAAACGGGTCATACTAGTCATGAGCTATCATAGTGACGCGTATATAACTTGAATTACGCTTTCCAACATTATATTCATACAAAGTCGGAAATTTTTCACTGAAAATACTTTTTTGGGGACGGTATTAGTTTCCGCCATCAGGTTCGCTAGGTAGCTTATTGTCCCTTTAGGTGGGAACTGCTTACTCTAGACATTTAGCGTTCCCGTAAATTCGATCCATCTTCGGTCCGTCTTTGAAATGAGTATTTATTGCCACTTAAGCTTTTTACATGACAGTTATTTAAGGGCTTCAGCCTACAATGAGAATTTGTGTAATTTGAAGTCTATTTTATTGCACAAATGCGAGCTTCGTACTTGCGGATTTAGTTTTCCCATCGGAAGATGGAAACATTTATAGACTTCACATTTGTAATGAGATTTATAAATTAATTTGCCCAAACTCAATGCCCCAAGTTGCTTATTTGTAGCGCCCGAACTATGTTATCGCTGTTTTGAGTATTATAGTATTTATGTCGTAGTGGTGAACGAACGGAAACTATAGGGGATGGTATTTTCATAAAGCGTGCATTCTACTTTATGGATTTGTAATGATGCCATCAGAGGTTGCTCATTGTGTTCACGAACTTTGTAATGGCTTAAATTGACAGCCCGAAACAACGTGAATTTGTTTATTATCAAGACTTGATATTGCCGCAGTTGTGGTCAATTCGGGCATCATTTGACTTCGTGTCCGCATTTCGATAGTTTTGTTCTAACCTCTTAGCAAATGTCCCAAATTCGCTCTCATGGTAAGCAAAGCGTGGCATCTGTGTCCTCGCGCCTGTGCAGACTCCCAACCCACCAGGCTTGCTTTTGGCGGCACTCACTTTCTCGAAAAGCGTAAATAGTCGTTAAACTGTGTCCCCTCGATCCACCAATTAGTCTTAGCCGAGTGTCGACGCTACGTCAGAACATCCTTTGCATCCTCTGTGAATTCGTTGGCTTGTTTGTTCTTGGTCTTTTGCGCTATCTAACAAGTGTTTTAGTATCTTGTTGATTCATTTACTATTATTGACGTTAACGTAATCGTAATCAAGGAAGTCCTTCCGTTTCGGAACTGCTATCATTCAATTCCTGCCTTTCTTCCAAACTTCTTTAACCATTAAGGCTTAGCAAACCTCACGCCGAGGTCCTTTATTTGAAGACAATTCGTGTATGAGGTTCTTTTGTGTCGGTTTGCATGCATGGCAGGTCTGAAATAGTAGACACCCTAAATTCGTGTTTGAATTTTGGCGTTTTCTTTCCTTACTATCAAAAGGTTTCGAACTAATGACGAAGTTAGTCTTTTCTTCTCAACGATTATCCCCTATAATGCACGGCATATGTTTTTTTAAAAAAAATTATGAGTTTATGAACTATAATCACTCTATAGCAACAGATATTGTTATAAGCTGGTTTATCGTGCCTCTGCTTTACACATGAATGTCTGCTAGTGCACCACCTGTAATTTGGTAAATCTGGCAGCCCTTGGGTCCGTCAGCTGTGCAATAGTGCTGTTTGTCTTGAGCTCCTTCGCGTCCAAGTGTTTTGCTGGTAAAGCCTCTTGTGGCCTCCTTTTATTGGCTTCGCCGTTGGCCACCAACTTATTTTTGTTGTATTTTGCTTTTTTTCCAGTTTTTACCGCTTGCTTCTGTGACCACCTTGCGTGCCGTTCATCACTGTCGGGTTGCTAGCTGTGTGCAAGTAACTGTAAAGTGCTTGAACTCTCCAATCCTCACTGTTATTGTGTCTACTTAATGTTTTTTCCGGTCCGGCTTCATCTAGATTTTGTCGCTTTGTAATCAAGCTCATGCACCATATTTCTTTCCGCAATTTCGATGTCCAAATTTTCATGCCTTCTGGAGCGATATGTTTGAGATTTGTTTGTTTAAATCAAGTTAACTTTTTTGCTGAGTATTTACCAAAAGCAGTAGTGTCTGCCCTTTCATGTGGAACTGCATCCTCCTTTTTACATCTTCTTGCGTCTGGTTTATGTCATCTGGGGAGACCACGAAGTCCTGCGCTTGGTGGCAGGGATGTTCCAATCGGCCCGCCGTGAAAGTTTTCCACTCACTCCCTCTGCTCTCTCTTTGTGCCCCATTAAACAACACACCACTTATTGACGCATGGCCTGCGTTTCTTAGGTGCGCGCACAGCGTTAATCCTCTGTCACGTGCGAGCGTAAAACTTCCTAATTCGTAGTTTTTCTTCCCCCACCCTAATATTCTGTTCAGGGTGTGGAAAGTAGACGATCGAAAGGCATCCGAAATTTGTTTGAATCTCGTCATTGAAGTAGTGGAAGAAATATGCTTACATGATAGTTTTTTTAGTATTTACATTATTATATCTGGTAAGACTCCTCTCTTGCGTACTCTCGACAACGAGCCACTTCGTGTCAAGATACTCTCTCGCGTGCAGACTACCAATATAAGGCTCAATTGGTCATTTAAAAGTGCCACCTTTTTACTGTTTGTTAGTTTGCTCGGTCTGGGGGGTGTTCACGCGAACTACGTGGCATCTCGTTAAATGAATGCCTACGAGACAATTTTTTTTGGTGGAATGCTCCCTCGCTCTAGATGTGCGTGTGCATACTCTTATAAATCTCATCAAGGATACTGCTTCGACATTGCTCCAGATTAACTCATTTCTTACGCTAATGGATACAAATTAGCTTCATGCATTATACCAAAATCTTTTGCAGAGAAATTGCGTGATGGTAGTTCTGCCAAAGCTGTCTGTTTTGGCTGCTTTTCACTCAACTGACGGTGGTCTGATATTCTCCAGCACACTTTCCGCAGATTTTGCCTTGTATCTTTTGTCAACAATTGTCGGGCGTGGAAGAGGTCGAGTGTACTTAATTTGTCCTATTTAACGAGGTCCCGATGAGCGCATTTAGAATGCTTGCCCTAAATACTAACTGTCTAGTCTCCAGTCAGTTATTTTAAACAGTTATCTGTTATGATGAAAGATGAAGCCAAAGTATGCCTTAATATAAATTTATTTGCTGCCTTTATGACATGATGAAGTCTAAAGCACTTTCTTCCTTCGTTGAAACTCGTGTTCACTCGATTAATGCACTAGTATTGGGACATATCTCCTACGTCATTGGCACTAAGCATCCACATTTTACACCTGGTTTTTCAATTTCCAAATTACTAGTTCTTTGTCGCACACCTTCAGAAAGAAAACGCTTCCGACGAAGGTGTTTGTCTGGTTCTTGCTGGAATCGCGGTTGTGGTGCGCGTAAAACTATTTGGTTGAGATTACTTAAATACAGTCCAACTGGACCATTATGGGCACGTTTGGTTCTGTGTATATCCAATGCTTTTGTCACCGTCGTCTGCTAGTTGGCAAGGCCGGCTTGACTTACCTGTTTGACATTGTCACCGACCAGATAACTCGCTATGCTGACATTCACTGACAGAAATCCACAAAATTTTGATGTCCACATTTAAATAGTCATTTGACGCTCTTTTCAATTTATTTTTGTCTTTGATAGTATTGCAATTCGTTCGGGTTTTCAAGCTATGCGATCTCTAGGCGAGATCAGATTAAAACCGAACCTGCCTCCCAAGTGTGTTCGACCTTTTTTGTGTGGGGAGCACCTTGTCGAGGGTCCTTTGGTTTGGGTCTTTTTTGTTAGTTTAGTCAAAATCACACAAAGTTTGTTATTGTCCGAATGGGTTTTTCTTCGCCTCTTTCACTTGCGTACCTTAAACATGACTAATTCAACAGAGTTTCAACTTGAAGAAATCGAACTGTTTAACTCCCTTGTAGCGGTTCTGCCAAGCCCGCATCTGATAGTGGTTTTACGCAGGACCTTAAGCGGCGCAGCGAACATCCCGGCATGGATGCTCCCGGTCTACTAGCCGATCAGCAGGCGATGCTGAAGGAGCAGGACGAGCACTTGGACCAGTTGGGCTCGAGTATTTCCCGGCTGAAACAAATGTCTCATCGTATCGGTGGCGAGTTAGGTGACCAGGTGGCTCTGTTAGACGAATTTGGCGAAGAGATGGCCAGCACAGAGTCTCGAATGGATAGTGCACTGCGGCGGGCCTCCCGACTACTCCACATCGATTCGTCTCGAAGCCAGTGGTACGCCATTGGCGGTCTTCTGCTGATCCTCTTCATCATTCTCCTTCTCTTCGCCGTCCTTTGACGCGCCGTGCCCGAGCTCGTGTACTTTTGTCTCGTCTTTCATGTAGCAAGCTGGTTCACCCAAAACCAGCATTTTGACTTTTTTCATGGCGGCATGAAATTTTCCGTTGTATGTAAGCTACCACGTTGCATTATGAACTTTTATGCTGTGTCGTGGTGATAGTGCGGTCCGTGAGCACCCGGTTGTCACCCTTTCTCTCCTTTTGACATTCTCTTGGTTTTAATCATGCGTTAATATTCAAATAACTTGATGCGTTAAATTTGCCTGCGCTTATGCCTGGTGGAATTTTTTACTCCATCTGGGGTAAGTGGTGATTCATTTATTGAATTTAATTGGATCCAGACGTTGCTGTGTCGTCAGAATTTCGCATCATCGCTGTCGTCAACGTGATTAGGAAGTCGCCCAACTTTTTATCCGTCCGCAGTTAGAAACGCGGACTCAATTTTTTTGAATTTCACAATCCTAATCTTGTTTGGGATGGGCTCATTCCCTATCTATGACCTAGAGATACACTTCCTTGAGTGCCCCTTTCTAATGTTACCTAACTTGTGTGTGTGTGCGTGCTAACCGGCAACGTGTCTTACCTTCTTCATTTTCTGGACCCCGTACAATGCTTTGTTTAATGGTCAAACCAAACTATCTGACAACATTTCTAACTGCGTTAGCGTCAATGAAACGATGCTAATCAATTGACCACACTGTTCATTACAGTTCTCATCAGCACTTTGACCACATCGGGTGGTAAATTTGAGGGGGTATTTATCTTTATGGGCCATTTCTAGTCTATATCACTTCACAAAAGACTTTGAAATAAGATATTTGAGTAAAACTACATTATGATTGTTTCGTATCGGTTACAATGCAAAATTATTCCTAAAACATGAAGTGGGTTCGGGCAGTCACTACGACGAGTTGAAGAGCGGCTTTGGCGGACGCTAGGAAATCATGCACCTTCTCTCATTTTACTTAGTGTTTTCAATGCCATTTCCATGCGTTGCAGCAAAACGGGTGTCTTGGTATACATTTCGACCGTCTGAATTTCAGGTCAATTGCAACCTATTTTACGAGATCGGCATCGGCGAATCCTCTTGGCACAATCCACCAGTCCGTTTGCAGAAGCTTCCAGTCCACCAGTAGTTTTCATACAATTATCCACGTATGACCGCATTTTTTCCTTGAAACCTGTTAAAACTGGAAAAGCAAGCTAGAAGTTTCAGTAATGGTGAAATGTATACTTTTGTGGTAGCCCTTTGAATACGAGTTTGCATTCAACCCTTGTCTCTGATCGCCCAACGCTAGGTGATATAGAGGTCTTGTTGTTGAAATCAGCGAATCCCCTTATGGTTATTAATTTACCCGAGTTACTGAATGTACAAGTACCTGCCTCCACCACCGTGCATTCAGCCACTTCCGTGTTTCCGGTCGGACCTTAATGCCTATGATTGGCGACTCCCTAATATGGCCACGGAAGACTTTACTTCACATCTGATTTACTTTCTACTGCTGGCACTTTTATATCCCTAGGTCGTTTAAGCTAAAAATTCTTGACAGCTCTGATCTCGAACCTCTCATTCGGAATTTCCCGTCTATAACGTTGACTAAGTTGGTGGTTTTGAAGTGATCGTACTTTAAAGTATCAGGTGTATTGCAATTAAACACTTACCTTCTCCCTCTAGTCTATGGTGTAGTCAGCTAGGCGCGAACTGGTACCACCTACCCGAAATCCGAGGCAATGTGTAAACCTGGTGACGGGGTTAGGGAACTTCTGAAATCGTGATGAGGTAGCCTCGATAATTACACGCTGGATTTTCCATTTATTTTTAGCCGAATTGTCCCTTTGTATTTGAATTCAAGCCACGATAAATGCCCATTGCTGTAGTGATTTGCACTTTAATGAATGCAAATTAAAGCCGACATTCATTAATCAAGTCGACCTTTTATGGGAACAATTTTTAAAGGAGCATAATCAAAGTTAGGTAAACTAACTAAATTATCAGGTGAAAATGCTTGTCTAAATGTGTTCAAACTTATAATAAACGCCCTGGGCAACCGAAGGATTGGGTGGCTTTTGGCAAAATTCCTATCCGTGTTAATGTGTGCTTAAATTTCTCAAGAATGACAGGAAGAACGCCTTGTAGTGCTGCACCGATTACGAACTTACCAGTCATTTATATTTCTGGAGTTGGTGATTGATACTATGCACTTTAAGGCACAAATTCTCTGTGCCGAATCGTCGAATTGTTTATTCATTAGTTAATACGCCTACGGGGATGGGCGACACTGACTCGCTTGCATGTTACTGCGAATCAGCTCAAACAACTTTAAATCAACTAAAAACTCTAGCGACAAGATGTAAATCCGCAATAACCAGAACAGGCATTCTATCGAAATTAAACTTTTAAATGCACTTGTGTAAGTTTAGACCCGTTTTGTCTTGACTGGTCTGAGCCTAGTAACTTTAATCATTACCAGGTTGGTTGGTGTCACTTCAGGTTATGCGGCCACTTGATGATTTTGATTGCACGCCGCCGCCAAGCGCTTGCTGGTCGAAAACTATTAAGGCTACACCCGTTGGAAGAATTCCATCTAATTGCCCAATTTTTGATGCAACGTTGAGTGGAATTTCTGTTGGGGTTTCAGACCTGGTCGCAATCAATAGGTATGCGCCGCATTGGTCTCATTGATTTGCAAGCCCACACTCAAACACCAGTATTGAGCAACATCATGAAACCCGATAAAATGACTACGCTTTTACCCTGAATTTCGTATTAGGCCAAAAGGTATGTACTTGAGCGGAACGGTGTGCCCATCGGTTGTGTTTGAAACTGCTGGATGTGGGTCGCAGTCGTCCACCTGTTGTTGTCGTAGGACTTTCCGCTGAACCCCAAAGGAATCCGGTTGTGTCACGCAACGTCTAAAAGTGGATGCAAAATCCATGGAAATGATGAAGGTATTAAGGGTGAAGAGATTAATTATTAGAAGAGGCTACTGGGGACATGTATGGTCCTAGAACATGTAAAAAAGGTCTGATGAATGCCATCCTTATTGCTATCTTCACTGTCAAGAATGTTTTTAACTCAGACATGCGACCTATGTTGGAAAGATGTTATTTGGTAATACCTTCGTGTATTTAAAGCAATCAATACAACTGTGTAGGCATAATATCTGCTATAAACCAATACTATATTGAGGTGAATGAGTTCGTGTTTACTGATTCAAACGATTTTCGCCTTGTATTCTATGCGCCTGGTACAATACAAGGAACACCCCACAGCATTACGTGTGATTCAAACATGCAAAAGCAGAAGTGAAGGGGGAACTTGAGCATGATATTATCAAAAATCGATTGCAGACCAAGCCACAAAAATTTGCACAGTACTTATTGTTAGTTTGGCTTGCTCACGTAATCACACAGAGCAAATGCGGTTGTAACCGGCGATGTGGAATGCGAAGCCCTTATTTGCCGTATGATGATCGACTGTACTGGAGTTGTTTACCGGTCCTTCATCAAGTTAGCTAACATTTTTGTCATCCCAAAAGCAAGAATTAGTTGCCCTCTAGGAACTCATCGTCACGTCACAAAAAAACCGCTTGCGAAACATTTCTCTTCCTGGTTGGTTCGATAAGAAGGGCAAATGTTGTAAACTCGATTTAGTACCATTATCGTCCATGTTTGCTAATTGCTAGAGCGCAAGCAATTATGATTACTACACACACTGCATCAAGGGCAGCATGCAGGCATTCAGTTGGAAGGTAACCTTTCAAACACATCAGCTTAGAGGGCTTAATCACGCCCACGGAAGCCCACAATTTGCGCATAACTCCTCTAACGAATACGGATGGTGACCTTCAAACAGAGTAATGACTTTTATTGCGAGAGGAGGCCAGTGGTTGTAAATTAATTTCACAAATGCTTGTACCGGGTGAATTTTATACAAAAGCAATGTGTCTTGCCGACCTTTAGCGTGAATCTGACGGCCTGTATAATCTGGCGTGTCAAATACGAATCGATTTGGTTGCTTGAATCACGCATTACGTAAGCGGAACAGGATACTAGGACAGAACTGACTGACTTTGATCACTTCAGCGGCTACGCTCGGCGAGGTACCTGTCTTCTAAAACAAATGGCCATAACGTAATTCATTTGGGGCCGAAGTAATAGAAGGTCCAGTCATGTCAGTGTTAAAAAAGGTTATATGTCACTGGTCCTTTCCATCAGCACTCCCTTTGATGAAGGTTGGTAAATCTACCGGATACACTTCGCTCCCTTCGAATGATAATAAACGCGTGACCGAGGTCATTTATAGCTCTTAACACATTTTGTTCAATTCTTAAAATATTTTTAAAACCTTGCAAAACTGTAAATTTAACTCCCATTTTGGAGTTTTAAGTTTTGGAAAGAGAAATGATGGCACAATTTTGTTTCAATGCAATTAAAGGCAAAGGCAGCTCATGAAACTCAACCACATGAAATGACGAATGAAAGAAACCTAATTGACATGTTTCTGCATTTCCGTGTGCATTTTTGGAGTGGAACATATAGTCTCGTGCAACATATGGATTTTTTACACTTCCGGTTTTCACAATGAAACTTTCACGGGAATCGAGTGGAGGAATTGTATGCTCCTCATTTCACACCGCTCGCTCTAGTCTTAATGTTGTTTCTGTTTTAAGCAGTTTTAATTTCACCTGTTGTGGTGGAAACAGATCATACAAAGTCCACGGCACTTAAGTGATATGTGACGAGCAGTGGCTGATGGCTACTAGAGACAGGGACTGATGCAACCTCCCATAAATCAGGCCAGGTCATTCTATCAAGGGGCTGTTGTAGTGCCCCAGTATGTGTTAATCCTGGATAAACGTTCGCGATAATGAGGTGTGAGTAGAGGTTCCGCTCGGCTGACGGAAGGCTGTGAAAATAGGGCCAAGGAGTGACCGAATAAACGAGCGTGAATAAACACGTTTCTCAACAGCTTCCCACCTTAGCAAGAGAACTTGGC